TGGGGGTATGAATAGTTTACCTGGTACTAGATTTAAGAAGTGTCAGAAACGCAGTGGTTTGCACTATATCTGTACAAACTTAAAAAAAATAAACTTGCCACAAAGTGGAATTGTTCCTGCAGCTGAAGGATAAATTGTAATGACACATAATGCCAGCTTTTTTAATGTGTGTGAGTACAAATTGATTTAAGGCAAACTAACTCGGATGGGAGCATGAATATGTGGCTTTACAGAGCTGGGAGATATGCATTTCTGCTGTTAAACCCCAAGTAGTTTTTGCCTATCAGTATGTTTTTCTAGTTTTAGTTGCTTTCTAGTTCCTGAAAGCAGTTCCTGCTTGAGGGCATGAAACAGTACTTATTATATTGGAATTTGATATGCTTGTTTTTGCAGTGGTTATGGAAGATTGAAAGTGGAAAGCAGTAAGAATTTCTGGAGATTTGCTGAGACTTTCTTAATTCATAGTTATTGTTGGAATTGTTCCTTCCCCCCCTTTTTTTTTAACCTGCAAATTTTCATTCTGTTTCACTATTCCAGAAGCAAATGGTAAAATGCTATGTTCCAATTCTGTAAATTCAGCATAGCCTTGTGCCACTGAGCAGTATGAACCAAATTTATAGTTTGGATGTCGTTGTGGTCACTGTCAGCATAGGAAATGTTCTTTTAAAAAAGAAAAAAAAACAGAACAGAAAAAATGTAGTCTGGCTTGTCAAATCTTGTCCTAGTGCCTCTCTACCTCTTTTCCCTTTTTTTCTGGCATGCCGCCTCCCACCTTTCTCCTCCTGTTTGCCCCATCTGCCCATTTGTGATTCAGGCAAAAAGCAAGATGTGCTGTGACTGATTTAGAGCATGTGCTGATTTGCCAGCTGGCCGCTATCTCTGAGCTGCTGGGTCAGCCAAACAGAACAGATAAGGTCTGAGCTGTCCTTGCATCTTCCCAGTAATGTTTCACCTCATTTGCTGTGGCATTTTCCCCATGCGATATGCAGAATCTCAGATATACTTAAGGTCACTTTACCTTCCCTCTCCTTTTGAACATGGAAAGCCAGAGTAAAATTTCATTTTAAATGTTATTAAAATAGTGCTAATAGCTGATGCTGAACAGAGTAGATTATTGTGCTCAAATATATAGTTTAACTATTATTAACCACACATCAAGCTGTCTGGTGCATTTGACATGTTGGAGGAAAGAGATGCCATCCAGAGGGATCTTGACAAGCTAAAGAGGTGGACCCCTGAGTACCTCATCAAATTCAACAAGGCCAAGTGCAAGGTTCTGCACCTGGGGGCAATCCCAAGCACAAACACAGGCTGGGCAGACACTGGATTCAGAGCAGCCCTGAGGAGAAGGACTTGGGGGTGTTGGTCAAGGAGAAGCTCAACATGACCCAGCAGTGTGAGCTTGAGCCCAGAAACCAACCGTGTCCTGGGGTGCATCACCAGCAGTGTGACCAGCAGGTTGAGGGAGGGGATTCTTTGCCTCTGCTCTGCTCTGGTGAGACCCCTCCTGCAGTCCTGCATCCAAAAGGACATGGAGTCCAGAGGAGGCCACAAAGATGCTCTGAGAGCTGGAGCACTTCTGCTATGGCGATAGGCTGAGAAAGCGGAGGTTTAAGCTCCCTTCCATCCCAAAACATTCTGTAATTCAATTGGGTATCTTATTACTTTTTAAAAAACAGACGTGGTAGTGGTGTTGGACATAGAATTATGTGCTGGTGGTCTCAGCTGGGAGCTGTTCTGTTTCTGTCTGGTGTTTAAACTGTGCCTGAGATCTGTGAAACCACTAGCATTTTCATAGGAAACCAGATATGTCCTGATGAAGAAGCTTATACTGTGTAAGAGCTAGCTTAAAAATAATTACTCATGGCTGCATGTCTTCACTCTCGAGACAGCATGTATATTCACTTGGCTGCAACAAACAAAATAGTAATAAACGTAGGCAGGTTTTTTAGAGTATTCTCTTTCTCCTTTTTTTACTTTTAAAAACCTTAGATACATTAGATTCCACCTTCTTCCATTCGACAGCAAGTTGAAAAAAGATGAAAGGGGAGCTGGCGGAGGGAATTCCTGTCAGTCTTGATTCAGGTGAACATATGTAGCTGAGTACATCTTAGTGACATTCTTCAGTACCTAGAAGATAAGTTTTCCCTTCCTGTCCTGGATGTTTCTGCTGCATCTGAGATAGACTTAAATTGCAGCCTGCCAGCAGAAGAGCAAAACCAAGTCTTGCCCTCACCTCTGAAATGGCCTTGTTGGTCATGGTAACATCTGGATAGCCACTGGCTGGTGCTTTGAGTCCTGCCACAATCACTGTGCCTTGTGCTCCTTTTCACCCTCTACCTTGCAGATGCTGGTTTGGATGTGGGTTTTTGTGTGAGCAGTTTGCAGGTAACACAACACTACATGATCTTTTCTGCTTTAGAACTACTCCAATTCTTTACTATTCATTACAGTTACAAGTTGTCAGTATTAGGATCCTCTGGATGTTTTTTGCTAATGCCACTCTGAACCATAGAAAATGTTCTTTGCATACTTTGCCATCATCTGTGGTGTTGTTGTAGGAGATACTTCCCTGCTCTGAAGGTGATGCTGTAGCTTGGTGTTTACTTTTTCACCACTGCTGAGATGAACTCTAGCAATGCGCCGTACTTGGGCATAGAGCCTCTAAACATTCAGCACTTCTCATCTGTGCTTGTAGCTAAGCAGGCTGCTGTGGGTGCAGTGATTTGCTATGGGATTTTGAATCAGGCTGAAGATCTTTTCATGGATTTCTGGGCCCAGCTATCGCAGCTGCTGCAGTGATGGGTTCGTACATGCTCAGCACAATGCTGCATAATACAGTGTGCACTGTTAATGCTTTCCTTAGGGAAAAACTTGCCTGATTTATTCTGTTCTTGGCCTAAAGTACACAGAACAAACTACAGCTCTAGATGTCTCTGCTGTATCCTAAATGCTGTATGCTGGGTTTCTTAGATGTAGGGCTTCCTTTTGCTTGTGTTGGGATTAAGTGAGGCTGTAAAACATGGGTTTGTGTGTTTGTGCAGCTCTTTAGAAAATTCGATACTTACTTTAAGACCTTTAGTCTAAATTAAGCTTTGTGATTTACAGAGCCTAACATCCTCTTAAAAATGTATCTGTGATAGGACTTCTGAGATTATATCCTTGTTGCTATTTTAATCCAAATACTCAATAATACATCCTGTATTGAGGCTGCATTGCCACATTATAATCCTGCCTTGGGACTGGGCTGGACAATATGAGTGCTACCTCTTGCTGAATTAAGAGCAGTGTCACATCTCTGAGTGCTGAACTCAAACTCAAATCTAGGCTTGCTATTCTTGTTTTACAACAACAATGGTCTTCCTGTAGGAACAGGAATAAGACTGCCTTGTAAGCAGGAGTTTACAAGTGAAGTCCTTCAGCAAAGCACTCCACTAGCATTTCAGAGCACAGAAAGCCAGCCAAATCCTCTTGCATCTGTCTTTGAATGATGACAGAATGGGTTTGGGTTGGAGGGGACCTTAAAGATCATCTAGTTCCACTCCTCTGCCACAGGCAGGGATGCCTTCCGCTAGACCAGATTGCTCCCAGGCCTATCCAACCTGGCCCTGAGCACTTCCACGTATGGGGTAGCCACAGCCAAAGATCCAGAGGTGCTCTCTGGTGTTCTCTGTTGATATCAAAGCCCTGGTGAAGGAGACTCCATCAGTGCACCTCCATATCTATAACTCACCCAGAAGCAACAGTTAAGAGTCTGCAGCAAGCATGCTGCTGAGGATCTTGGAAGAGCTTCTATTCAGTTAGCCAGGTGCAGGGTGCATGTTGTCGCTGCTTACTTGAATGACCCTGCATTGAATGACCGTTACTTGAATGAGTGGGGCAACCTTGGCTTACATAGTCATCTAGCACAGCTGGTTATGCTGACTGCTATCCAAAGTCACTGTTGTTCCTGTTATGTCATACAGATACGCATATTAGATCCAAGCATGAGTAAAAAGAGATGATGGACTTGCTTAATAAATAATTATTTTTGAGAGATGGTGCTAAGAAATTACTATTTTTAAACTTGCTTCTCAACCCATCGGAGCAGCAAGAACTCTGAGGGTAATCTTACATGGCTCCCATGTCTTTCTCCTGCTCTGTTCAAAAGAAATCAGTGATGCTTGTCAGAAGACTTCACTTGTTACTGATGTCAAGAGCTTCTTAATCTCATTTAGAAGGTCCAGGACAAGGAGAGATACTGCTCCTTTGTTATGCGTTTGCTGCATTCTTCTGTCTTCTGTAAAGGGGAGGCTGCGTAACCTGCTCTCAGGGCATTGACTGATGCTGTGCCGTTATTTTAAAGATCACTCCAGTAATTTTGTAATTGCTGTTTAAAATCAAGCAAAAAACCCTAACCAAACTTTTAAATTATGCACATAACAGACTAAAGGTATTGCTAGTCTCTGCTCCTGCTTTTAAAGGAAACAACTGTTTGCTCTGTGGTCCCAGCAGCCATGAGAGAGCTGAGTTGGGCAAGTCCACAGGTTGGACTCTGAAATTTCCTCTTGAATAACGTATCTGAAGTTCCTGTTCAAGTGGTTTTGGAAATGTTTACGTTGCCTGGGTGCTTTGTTTTTAAGAGACAGTAACACCCACAAAGCTAGAGAGAGAAGTGTCACAAGAAGAAAAAAAAAACTGGGAGTGAATGAGGAAGAGATGGTGGCAGCATGAGGAAAATCAGTAGCTTTAGAGTTAAAAATCAACTTATTCAGAGCAGCATCTCAAATCTTACTCCTGAAAAGAGATGAGCATTGGTTTATAAAGTGACTTAGAATCTGTAAGCAAGGGGAGATCTTAGGAGAGAAATGATTTTTTTAAATACAGCTCTCTAGTGATGAGGCATTAATGATAGAGCAGTTATGCTACAATCACTGCAACTAACAGTTTGTTTTTTCTTTTGTCTTTCTTCCCCCAACCCTGTATCAAATCCTTTCTGCTCCTGATGCTTTGGGGAACAGCAGGACCCAACCAAAGGTAAAGGCTTTTAGTGCACATTAAGTCAGTGTGTGAAAATTGTTGTATCACTTATTCAGCCTTGGGTTATCCAAATATTAAAAGCATTTTGACAAAACAGCTCTGTAGTTAATCAGCTGTTGAGAAAGAAACTTAAAGCATCTCCTTGCTGCAGAAGAGCACTGTACAGCCTCTGCCAAATAATGAGTCACAGGAACAAATGAGAACATACATGCTCAGCATTACAGACTGTGAATGGAAGACTCCTTGTTGTTTGTGGGCTTTTAAAAGCATTTTCTGATATTTGTGTTAAAGCAAACTCATTTTGCTTTTGCAGCTCATGATCCCATAACTTTGTACTTTGTATGAAGACGTCAATGTCTACCCTAGCATATCAGGATTCAGCTTTATTGATGTGGTCCTATAGCCAATATTTTATTAAGCCAATATTTTATAGCTAATAGTTTTATTAAGGCCTGGGATGTTATAATAGCATGTTTAATTGTATAATGAACTCAAAGAATAAAAAAACCCTTAATTTTAAATAAACAAGCTATTGTTTCCTTGGAAGATATAAAGTAACTCACTTTTATCTCTTCATGCAGGATGTTAACATAGTATAGGGAAAAAAAAACAAAGCAAAACACAAAATTAAAATTTCAAGGATTTTTCTATATTAAGCATTTTCATAAATGTAGGTAGTAAGTTGGGATGTGTTGATAGTATGGATTTTCAACTCTTGTGTTATTTTTCTAACTATTTTAGTTGAAATACTTGATCAAGATTTGTTTCATCTCTACTAAAATGGAACTTAAAAACGTGTTAACAGATGAAATGAAATTTTAGAATGCAGGTTCGGAAGGTGAATGTGCAGTGCTGAAAGGGAAAGAGCAGCCTTCATGAAGCTTTAGGAGAAATAAACAGCCAAAAGGCAACACGTTGCACTTCCCTTTTCCTTTCTCCTACAGAATAAATTTTGCCCATGTGACTATAGGTCAAACATTACCCTGATTTTTGTTTTTTTCTTGCAAATACATACCGTGGAGAGTTTTTTTTTTTTGCAAACATCTGTCCCAAAATACACGCTGTCTTATTGCAGTTCAGCTTTAATGATGAAAAGTGCCTGTGCATTTTGAATGGATTGAAATTCTCTATTTAAAAAGTTTGGTTTTATCAAATTGAAACTTCTCTATTTAAAAAGTTTAGTTTTATCACAAGAACAGTAGCACTATAAATTGCTCTATGTTGGTCTTTATAAGTCTTACACTTTGGTGATGACCTACTTCTCTTCTACATAGAGAGATGCCTACCCTAAGGTGTGTTTTTAATTTATGTACATGGGAGACATGGGGAGATGGTAGGCAGGAGCAGCCAGAGGACATCTGTCGTTTTGTAGAGTAGAAAGTCTTGTGAAAAATTAATTGCAAGGGTGGGTTTAAAGGAGGATAAGAAGAGCTCCTTGACATCCACTGGCTTTCCACATGGAAAACTTTTGGAGAACATGGAATAGGATTTACACAGTAGAGAGTCAGAAATAAAGCAAGAAACAGGCTGGCATATGGGATAATCATGGAATCACAGAATGGTTTGGGTTGTAAAGGACCTTAAAGCTCATCCAGTTCCAACCCCCCTCCCATGGGCAAGGACACCTTCCACTAGACCAGGTTGCTTCAAGCCCCATCCAACCTGGCCTTGAACACTGCCAGGGATGGGGCAGCCACAGCTTCTCTGAGCAACCTGTGCCAGGGCCTCACCACCCTCACAGGGAAGAACTTCTGCCTAATATCGAATCTAAATGTCCCGTCTGTCGGTTTAAAGCCTTTCCCCATTGTCCTATCCCTACAGGCCCTTGTCAAAAGTCCCTCTCCAGCTTTCTTCAGCCCCTTTAGGTATTGGCAGGGTAAGAAGATGCACTATTTGTTTAGGCTTCAAACTCATAGAATATAAGTAATTCTGCAGCAATATATATTATGCTCAGAATGCCCTGAGGAGCACAATGTTAGCCAACATAATACAATGCTGTCAAAATTTTGATAATGTGTTTGATTTAGCAACAGTTTTTATAAGGTGTCCTCCTTCCTACAGGTGTTTGCTTACGATCACTGCTTTTGGTCTATGGATGAATCTGTCAAAGAGAAATACGCAGGTAATATTTACTGTAGCTTTGTGCTTGTTGTCTCCAAATGTGAATGATGTCATTAAAGTACAATATTTGCTCTTGGGCACAGACCATATGGCATGAAGTGCCTCCCACTGTATGACTGCTTGTCAAAAGAAAAAGGAAAAACTTCAATCATTCCTGTTTCTATTCTCTAAAGATGATGATAGCAAAAGGCATTGCTACCCTTTTGCAGTGTAGGAAATTGAGAAATCCATCACAATAATGGGTTAATCATATTTGCATCTTTATTTAAAATACTCTTTCAAGTCCATAATTTTAAAAACATCAAATCCTTTTTAGGATTTGAGGAACATTTCTATATGTAATTTCATGTTTCATAGTGCTGATGGGAGGTTGGCATCATGTTAAAACTTAATAATGTTGTACTAAAAAAAAAGCCTAATGTAATATAGAACTATGTGAATTCATATGGTCTGATGAGAATGTGTATTTAATTCAAATTTTCTATGTATTATTATGGCACATTTTGGCAAATAGTTATGATAAAATATGAAATATATTTGGAATTACCAGTTTTGTGATCTGTTCCTTTCATACTTGTTATCTTTTAAAATTGGGATTTGGTTAAGCTTGTTTAAATTTATTTTAAAAATCACAAGAAAAATAAGGTGCACATGCTTCTAGTTTTTAATTTCTTTACCAAATAACTAATGAATAGTAATTTAGTGAGAAAATGAGAATAATGTGCACTTTCAGCTGTACAGATTGCATAGGAAGGTAAGATTTTTGTTTCTCAAACTAATGGAGGCACCTGTATTATATCACTTACATATTACAGGTGATATATATATGTCACATATGTATATATAAAATAATATATTAATACAGATATCACCTGTATTATCACTTATATTATAGTCGCTTAGATACTGGACGTGTTTGGTACAAAACCATTCCACTTATGTGCTCTATTAGCCAGGCACAGTTGTTAGGAGTTTTGCTGGGGAATTTTGCATGTGTAAAATTCGAATTGGACTTGGATGTCAAGATAAAGACTTCAATGAATGAGAGAAAGGAAAAGCTTTCAAGACCATTAACATATTTGAGAGGACTTTGCAGTCCATAAAGTTTTGTCATGTCTTGTTAAGACTTTAGTTCTTCTGTTTGTAAAAGAAATTTTGAAAATATAGATTTTGCTTGAACAAGTAATATCCAAATATATGAAGCATTTCTTCCCCTCCTTGGAAAAGGAGCCGAAAAGCTGTTCCTACAGATTTGGTTCAATTACAAAAGATGTGATATACCTTATATTTTGCTAACACGTACCTTGTATTATGTCATCTCCCACATGGTTGTGGTTCCTCCTCTGCAAAAAATCACTTTTATTACTTAATATCTTATATGTATGCAGTAAAATCTAATGCTCTACTAAGTGCCATAGATTAAAATCAACTGATAGTTGTTAAAATGTACAGGCTGTGTATATTTTGAGATGGTGTCATTCACCACTGGAATAAATTCTGCAGTTGGTAGTTGATTTTTTTGCTGATAAAACCTTTGGACATGAACATTGATAGGATGTTATTTTAAGCACATACAGGTATATGCGTGATAATTCCAGCTTCTGATTTTTGCAGTAGCATAAATCCGGAGCACATGTGCTGGCTGATGGTCTTGCTCATCTAGAGGGAGCAAATACAGAATGTGATTTAGGCCACAACAGCAGAAAATCACAAACTGCTTTTACATAATCACTGAAGAATCAAAGTCAAGGAAAAAAACTCTTTTGCTTTGTTACAGCGTTAGCTTGTGTGTTGTTTCTTAGGTCAAGATGTTGTTTTCAAGTGCCTTGGGGAGAATATTCTTCAGAATGCCTTTGAAGGCTATAACGCTTGCATCTTTGCCTATGGGCAAACTGGTAAGTCCCTTCCAGACATAAGGGAGAAATACTGTCGATAAAAAAGGTGGTATGTTCTGACTGGAGACCCTTTTCACAGCTGTTGTGACATTGTTCCAGGAGAAATGCCAAGTGATATAGGTAAAAAATGTTTGTCTCTTTTGTAACTTTAGCTGTGAGGTAGGCAGGGTGAAAAATAGGTTTTCTCCCTTGCTGCTGACTACCCTTATTTTTCACACCTTAGATTACAATCTTTAGAGTGACCGTGATCATCCTTCAGTTCAGTGCATCACTCATATTTTCTGCTTCTTCAGTTAGAATAATCTTTAATCATTGTAAGTGCAACATGCAAAAATGAGCATGCTTACACAATTGATTTTTTCTTATTGAGACACACATGGGGTTTTGTGGGTTGTCATCTACAATGAGACTGTATCTACCTGAAAAAAGTCTTTTCTGTCAGTTTGAGGTAAGTTTCTTGGTTTACTTTTCCTTTTAATTAAATAATCTTTAGCCGAATACTGGTTTGATGAAAGTAGAGAACTACACAAATGTCTTTCACTGAAATGCAAAATTTATTTTATTTTTTTAACCTCTTTATTTCCTTTCCATGTTCTGCACAGCAAGAAACATTGTTGCATGCACACTAATCATAGATTCGTTCTCGCAGGATCTGGAAAATCATACACAATGATGGGTACTGCTGACCAACCTGGATTAATCCCTAGACTTTGTAGTGGACTCTTTGAAAGAGCACAGAAAGAGGAAAACGAAGAGCAGAGTTTCAAAGTGGAAGTATCCTACATGGAGATATACAATGAGAAAGTCAGAGATCTTCTTGACCCAAAAGGGTGAGTCAGCAGCACTGTACTGTGTTGTCATACACTCTTTGTTTCCATAACCAGTTTGCCTTAATGGATCCCACGTCAGGCATTTGCATAGGATGGCTTTTGTTTCTTCCTGATCTCAGTATCCTTTCGTTTTAAATCAAAATGAAGTAGTAAGACTGAAAGCTTGGAGTAAACTCACCCTGATGCTAGCTTTTATGAAGTGACAAAATGTGTCAGCATTTTACATGGTTTGCATTATCATCCTTGTTCTGTGCTTTATTATGGTATTTGTAAGACCATAATGTTTGAGATCTGTCTGTGAGAAATTGACTTTCTATAAATGTTGTCTTAAGTCAGTCATGTGCTTTTTTTTTTCCAACCAGAAGCCGTCAGTCATTAAAAGTTAGAGAACACAGTGTTTATGGTCCTTATGTAGATGGCCTATCCAAGCTAGCCGTTGCTAGCTACAAGGTAAGGATCAATTTTATGAAATGCTTATGTTGACATTCTAAACACTAGGGTACTATCCCTTAAGTAGAGTAAAACTATTAAGCTATTTCTGATTGCTGTGGTAGAAACATGGATTTTAGAGCAAGAGAGCTGTAGGATTGTTGTATTGTGATCACCAGGGAGAACAGGGTTAAGAGCAGAAACTCATCTTCATCTGGTGCTATTCAGTAATTCTGGAAATAATTCAACAATTTAATGAAACAGCTTTCCTCCCAAACTTAAGATGAGCGTACGCTGTGTCCATGAGAAAACATTCCATGACAGATTACAGAACCAGGATTTAGCAGAGAAAAGCTTTCAGTATCACATTTTGTCACTGACTCTCATGCTATTGCCTGGTAATTTCACTTACCAGTAACACACAGACACACTGGAATTATAAACTAATGGCTGTTTACAAGGCAAATACATGAGGACATGACATAAAACTTGCTTGCTGGATAGTAAATTTGTAAGAAGCATAAATGTACTGTGTGACAGATTAATAAATATGGGATGAGTCTGTCATCTTAAGCAAAACATGAAAATGGTGCAACCCTTCCTATTGCAGTTTTTCATCAACTTCTCTGTGGTGGTTTCTGTTAAGCCAAGATTGTGTGCATGTCACCCAGCAGCTTTTGTGTAATGCAGAATACAGTCAAAGTGGTCTATGGTGGTCTTCCATTTAATTGGTTTTGGGTTGTTTTTTTTTACCATCATCCAGCTAGAGATGCATAAATAAACATCAGGGCCAGGACTCTAGAGTTTTAACCATTTTGCAGGATTGCTGTAAAACCCTGAAGCAGGGGAGCTGTGTATTTCTCAAGTATCACAACTTAGTGTATCAGAGGAGTTTATAAGCTCTTATACAGAGAAGGAATATAATGGCCTCTTTAGTGTGGTTCTGTTTAATAAAACTTTTGTTAAATCTTTAGAATTATTTATTGGGTTGGGCCTCACCACCCTCACAGGGAAGAGCTCCTTCCTAATAGCTAATCTAAATTTCACCTTTTCAGTTTAAAGCCATTTCCCCCTGTCTTTGAGCCTTCTGTCAGTATTACAGATTTCAGGAACATGTGTTTGACAACTGGGGCTAAAATGTTCAAGTGTTCAAACATGAATTGCTGTTTCCCTACTTTTTTTCTTTGCTTTTGAGTATTATGCAGCCAGGTGCATTATTTTTGCTGATAATTTAATATCTAGGTAGAGGTAATGGATAAATATGCATGTCACAGCATTGTGCCATTTCTACTCTTTAAAGGGGAGATCGCAGTATTTTTTTCTTGACATTTTGTGAACAAACAGCAGGAAGCTCAATGAGAAAATCCCTGCTATATTTTATGAAAATGAGATTGTTTCAGTAGATAATAAAAGAATGTTAATGCAGATATGCTTATGGCTGTGAAAATTGTACCTAGGACATAGAGTCCTTGATGTCTGAGGGCAACAAATCTCGAACAGTGGCTGCAACCAATATGAATGAGGAGAGCAGTCGGTCCCATGCAGTCTTCAAGATCATCCTTACCCACACGCTCTATGATGTACAGTCAGGGGTGAGTAAACAAGTTACAAAGTCCAAATGTTAAACTTGGATTGGCGTCTCTTGCTTTAATGTATTTCAGAAATTCATAGAAAAGTTGGTTGGAAGGAATCTCAGGAGGCCATTTGCCTGCCCTTGTGCACTGCTAGTGTGAATCAGGTTAGCTCTGGCTTTGGCTGGCTAAGTTCTAGTAGTGCTCAAGTGCTTGTTCTGCAGTGTAGGGAAATCAGTTTGAATAGGTTTAGAAGTGAAATGTGAGGTGTTTTTAAATGGAAAACAAAAATGCTGGACCCAGCTTGCAGCAGACCTGCTGGAGGGTGCAGGAAAGATCTCTTATTCCTAGAATCTAAACTGAAGAAACACTTTTTGAGCAGTGGTGTGTACTGTACGGACTTAAGGCAGAACTAAAGACAAAATGTGTAGATGAAAAATGCAAGAACACCTGAGTATACATCTGGTAATCTCCTTCAAGAGCTTATTTCATGCAAATACGTCTAAATGACCAACTTTTATGAAACAGAACACTTACTAATTTCAAAAATTTTGCATTGTATGGCATTATTATTTTTATGCATATTAAAGATCTAAAAGACATATAAAGAAAAATAATTTCATATTTTTCTTTTCCTTATATTTAAATATTTCTTGGAGGAGTGTGTGAAATATATTTATGTGTTAATATTATTTAATTCCTCACAGAAAATGGTGATGAACTGAAATTGAAATAGATCTTTCATACTAAAACTCTTTAAATTGTAAATAGATTCTGTGCTTGGGCAATTCTTTAATATCATTAAAGATTTGGAGAAATTTTGAGTATTCATGGAGCAAATCTAAAGTGTGTATGTTCCTAACTATTGAATGCAATGTAAAACATGATGAGCATAATTATACCTATCAGCCAAAATCATTTTCATCTTGTTAGCAGTAATGAAATAATCATAGAATTATAGAATAGTTAGGGTTGGAAAGGACCTTAAGGTCGTCTAGTTCCATCCCCCCTGCCATGGGCAGGGACACCTCACACTAAACCATGTCACCCAAAACTTTGTCCAACCTGACCTTAAACACCACCAGGGATGGAGCATTCACAACTTCCCTGGGCAACCCATTCCAGTGCCTCACCAACCTTACAGTAAAGAACTTCTTCCCTATATCCAGTCTAAACCTCCACTGTTTAAGTTTGAACCCGTTACCCCTTGTCCTATCACTACAGTCCCTAATGAATAGTCCCTCCCCATCATCTTTATAAGCCCCCTTCAGGTACTGTAAGGCTGCTATGAGGTCTTCACGCAGCCTTCTCTTCTCCAGGCTGAGCAGCCTCAACCTTCTCAGCCTATCTTCATACAGGAAGTGCTCCAGTCATCCTCTTGGCCCTCTTCTGGACTTGTTCCAACAGTTCCATGTCCTTTTTATGTTGAGGGCACCAGAACTGCCCACAAAACTCCAGGTGAGGTCTCACGAGAGCAGAGTAGAGGGGCAGGATCACCTCCTTCAACCTGCTGGTCACGTTCCTTTTGATGCAGCCCAGGATACGGTTGGCTTTCTGGGCTGCGAGCGCACACTGAAGCCAGCTCATGTTCATTTTCTCATCGACTAGCACCCCCAAGTCCTTCTCCACAGGGCTGCTCTGAATCTCTTCTTTGCCCAACCTGTAGCTGTGCCTGGGATTGCTCCCACCCAGGTGTGTAGGACCTTGCACTTGGCATGGTTAAACTTCATGAGGTTGGCATCAGCCCACCTCACAAGCGTGTCAGGGTCCCTCTGGATGGCATTCCTTCCCTCCAGGGTATCAACCGAACCGCACAGCTTGGTGTCATCAGCAAAGTTACTGAGGGCGCACTCAATCCCACTGTCCATGTCAGCGACAAAAATGTTGAACAAGACCGGTCCCAACACCAATCCCTGAGGGACACCACTCCTTACTGGTCTCCAGCTGGACATTGAGCCATTGACCACAACTCTTTGCATGCAGCCATCCAGCCAGTTCTTTATCCACCGAGTGGTCCACCTATCAAATTGATGTCTCTCCAACTCAGAGACAAGGATGTTGTGTGGGACAGTGTGGAGCGCTTTGCACAAGTCCAGGTAGATGACATCAACTGCTCTCTCTACCCCTGTCCACCAGTTCTGTAGCCCCATCATAGAAGGCCACCAAACTGGTCAGGCAGGATTTCCCCTTAGTGAAGCCATGCTGGCTGTCACCAAGCACCTTGTTGTTTTTCATTTGCCTTAGCATGCCTTCCAGGAGAACCCGCTCCAAGATTCTGCCAGGCATGGAGGTGAGACTGACTGGTCTGTAATTCTCTGAGTCATCCATTTTCCCCTTCTTGAAAAAGGGGGTTATATTTCCCTTTTTCCAGTCATCAGGAGCTTCACCTGACTGCCATGATTTTTCAAATATGATGGACAGTGGCTTAACAACTTCATTCACCAGCTAAACACTTAGAATCAGCAGTCATACTGTGCTAAACTCCTTGATTTGATGTAGTTTGTCATTGTGTTTTTGCTGTGGCCAAGCTGTGAGCTTACCATGCGTATTTTTTGTGTGGTCATGGTCAGCCTGAGTTCTAGGTGGTCGTTCTGATTACCTGTATCTTCCAGTGACCACTGTGTGAGTTTCTGGAACAGATTTCTCTGTTTTCCCATCTGCTGGTTCTTTCAGTCTTGGAAATGACTTGTTTCGGTATGGCCTGATGATTACATTATATTTTGAGAAACTTAGAGTAACATTTTTGAAAACATATTGATTCTAATTATCCTGTTCATTTAGCAGAATGTAGCACTTTGTGCTACCAACATGCTAAAGTTGTCAATGCTGCAGGAGAGCAGCATGATGTGAGCAGACTGTTCTCAAAGGCAGCTTTCTTTTCCACTTCATATTGACATATGAAATTCGTGGAGTGTTTCAGAATGCTGTTTTTTGTCAAATGAGAGTAAAGTATTTGTAACTAAATTTGTGTTGCAGGTTTAAATACGTACCTTGGATTGCTTTCTAGGAGGACATAAAGGATATAGGGGACCTTGCAGTTGTAATAAATTTCGTAAATTATAACGTGCTTCTTGTCAGGCTCATTTTTTGTCTCCGAAAACCAGGAGCAACCTGGTATAATATCTGAGGTTTATAGAGGACTGTTTTCAAGATGGGATTGTAAACCCCATGTCACTGTGACTCCTTGGCCTGTACTACCTCTGCATTTTTCTCTGTTTAAATTTTACTAATATGCTCTGTGTAGCTCTCCTCTGGAGGTTTCTAAGATGTCTTGAAGATATTACTCTGACTTCACATGCTTCTGTTCTTTTTGAAAGCAGCAGGTAGTGAGTTAACACAGGATACTGTTCAAATTCAATGACTTTCAGAGGTGTTGAAACAGCTGCAGAGAGTCTACACCAAGAAATGAAGTTTGATTCTTCTTAGAAGATACATCCAACTGTAACTCAAGTGAACTAAAAGTAGCTGTTCTCTGATTCCTTCTGCAGACATCAGGAGAGAAGGTGGGCAAGCTGAGTCTGGTGGACTTGGCCGGTAGTGAAAGGGCAACCAAAACTGGTGCTGCAGGAGACAGGTTGAAAGAAGGAAGCAACATTAACAAGTAAGACTCTGATTATTTTTTTTTTTACCTTTTTTCCTCAATGCTATCATGACTGCTAAATACAGCATGCTTGTGAAATAGAATAAAGTCAGTATAAGCTCTTGTAGCTGGTTTTCTTCTTCCCTTTCCTTCTTGTTCTGATATACCAAAGTCTTAAGCAGAGATCTCATTCAGACATCTGTTTAAAATGATTGGCATTTTTTCCCTCTGTACTTGTGTTCCTATAACTACCACATAATTGCATTTTGAAGACAGGATGATTAAGGCTGAAAACAAGGAGTAGAGCTTTTGTGAGAAAAGAATGATAAAAACTGCATTAGGAAGCTTCTCCTTGCACTCATTTTTGGAGAGAAAGTCACTGTCTAAATATGCATTTGACTTATGAATATTTACACTGGTTAATGGCTGCTTGTGTTCTCTGTCCAGATCCCTCACAACCCTTGGGTTGGTTATTTCTGCCCTGGCAGATCAGGCTGCTGGAAAGAACAAGAACAAATTTGTTCCTTATCGTGATTCTGTGCTCACTTGGTTACTTAAAGTAAGTACTCTGATCTTGTTTTTTTAAAGAGAAATAGAAGTGAGAAGAAGGGGAGAAGAGTGCCATTCAGTAAAATAAAGGCCTGTTCTTTTCTGCCTCATTTTCTGTTTTTGATGTTAACCAATCTGATGTCTTTGGAAAATTAGCTGGATGTAAGCCATTAGTATCTCTATGAATCCAATGTGTTCCCTGTCTTCTGCTGACCTGTAATGGTCTAAAGAATAAGGAAATTAAATATATATATATTATGCATTAGTTTACATACAGCTTCACGCACAGCCTTAGGGCTAATTGCCACATGCAGCTGAATTTTACATGCTCTCAAGGTTAGCTTTGAAGATTTTGATTAAGACTATTACCTTTTCCTAATTGTCTAATACATTTGTTAATATACTCTACTTTTGTCAGCAAAGTATGATTGCAGAGCATTATCCCAGTTACAGTCTGAGGAACAGGTCAGAAGACTTAATGCATCATATTCATATGAAATAAATTGTTCAGTACTGTGTAGGAGTCTATTTGGTATTATTTTGGAGAAAACGAGTGTATCATGATGGCACTTGAATCACCTGTAAAGTCTAAATGAAGAAACACATTGTTTATATATGTCAAATTAAAAGGCAAGCTTTTGAGTTTGTTGTTCTCCCCACTTCCTATGTACAATGGCAGTAAAGCAGGGTAGCCTGATGACAAAAAATCTTGGGAGTACAAGTTTGATTTTAGGAATAATCATCATAAGGATTTTTCCCATGTTCTGAATGAATGGCAAGCACAAATGTAACTTCTTGTTTTCATTAAAAGCTTGCCTGCTAGTGAAGGTGGCTTGTCTGTCTTTTCCTTATCCTGCCTGGTACAGCTTGAGCAGTATTGTTTGACTTGGATTTTGAAGGATTAGTGAATTAGGTGTCATACATAGGTGATGTTATTTTCTTTACTGTAAGCTGTCATGTTGCTAAAATTTTTTTCTTTCATCCTTTGATTGCCAGGATGTTTCATAACCATGTCTCATAGAAATACTTACCAGGTATCCTTTTATTCCTTGTGCTCTGTTTTATTGTTATTGAGGAGCAGCTAAGCTATTTGTTAGTAGAAAGATATAATCTGGAAAGAAACTGGTTTTTTGGCACCACCATCCTTTTTCTTTTCTTTTCTTTTTTTTTTTTTTTTTTTTGTCTTTTTTAGGTGCTCTGGCTAGGTTTGGTTGTCTTGAAAGCTCTGCTTTGCTTCCTCACCCATTCTTAGCAATGTTTTTAGATATTGTTTCAGTTGGACATCCCTATGATTTAGCTGCACGTGTGGAAAGAAAAAGAAAGTTAGTTGCAGGTTATACGTAAGTGTGGAGATTAAAAAGGTTGTTTTCCTTAAAGAGATTTGAAAACAAAGTGGACTTTAGTGTTAAAATAAAATCTCTGCATGTGTAACCCTTGACACCACAAGCCTTCATTTTTCTATGTGTTCTCTTTTAATGAGCCATAAACCCTTTAGCGTGACTACCATGAAATGATTTATCTCTTCTCCCAGTGTAAACATCGCAGATACTGGTCATCAGGTAGTCATGAGGGCTACATAGAAATAAGAATGGCTTAACAGAAATAGTGTCTATACTTTTCCTACAGTAAAATAAACCCTCATATTACAGTGTTCCTTGCACTAAGACTTTTTTAGCATTTAAATATATTTTTGCCTCTGTATAGTCACACCGAGTTTTTAATGGAATTAAACAAGTGATTTTTGGCTCTATGCAAAGATGGGAACAAAACCAGCATGCAGCTTGGTTCAGTTTGCCCCATCAGCATGTGCTTGGGTTCTTGATGGGGCTGTAACAGTCTGAGCAAGCAGAGCGGAAACTTCCCTAACGGATTTCTAGCCTTGTTGTTAGAATTAGTTATGCTGCTCCATTTCTAAACAAATCCAGCAAGCAGACTGAAATTCCTCTTTAGCACCTGTCTGATGCATTGTAGCCATGATGACGATGGGCATACCCAGCACTTGCTTTAGCTCATAAATAGAAGTGTACTTTTGTTCTGCCTTCTTTCAAGCAAACCTTCTTTGTGTCTTTAACATCCAGCTATGTTAAGTGCAAACAAAAGGTTTGGGGCTTTGGGATTTTTTTTACAAACAAGCTCATTGAAGAAAAGCTTTATTTAGAAAGGGGAAGATTTAAACTTTTTTTTTAATTAAATATCAAAGGCGGGATTTATTCATTTAAAGAGGCCTGGTTATAGAAGCCATGAGATGGTGGGCTTTCTCTCTAGCTTTCAACTTTTAATTATGATGCTGAAGTGGGGTAAATGTGTTCTGACACTAGGAGTATCTGTCATAGAGTCATTCCGCAAATCTAAGAAACAAGCAGTGTTCAGGAGACCCCAAGATGTAACACTCTTTGTTTAATTTTGTTGAGATTATTTAGATAAAAGTACCAAGTGAAAAATATTATTGCAGAAGGAAGCTTGAAGATCAGCATCACATTATGTGTAGGAATCAAAACAGTTTGACAGTGCTTTAACTTCTTGGTTTTATCAAATAGTATCAGCACAAAGAGCTTGTTTTCCCATTATAGTAAGAAGCCCTGCACTTTTACTGATGGCTGCTATTAAAAATATCATATCTGATGTCTGCATTTTGTTTCCACAGTAAACTTGGTGCTAGAGAAGTCTGGGCTAGCTTAGTCTTAGAAATAACTAAACTTATTCATTTCCACTGTGTGTGTCTATCTCATGCAAACCCAGCCTAGCCAGGGTAATTTGCAGACATTGTTAATGAGAGGCTGGCTTACTATTTGTCTACCTTTCTTGCTTAACATTAAAGAAACCAGTGAAATCATCAGAACAGTTTTATACATAAACCTTTATCAGACAGTCTGGCATTGGTTTCGAATAGCTACGGTCCAACAGGAACTTTGCCCAACTTATAATGGGTGTATTGTGAATTATGTTGTATCACTGTAACAGCTTTCTCAGCTGCCTGTACAGCAGAGTTACAATTCAAATAATTAATTAATCCTATTTTGCAGCTAATTAGTGCAGTGAAGGAGGTTCCCAAAATACAAACTGTTAAGGTTTGATTTGGAAGTGGAGTACCTGGCCAGCTCTCTGATAAACTTCTTTTGATGCAGAACAGGGACTGCAGTTACAGAGTGTCATTCCTAATTTGTGAAAACCGTTGAAGGATTGAAGAAAAGTTCTGGCTTTTCTAGAGCCAGAAATCCAACTGAATGAGTCATGTGCTCTTGTTAGTCTTTTTAAAGGTTTCAGTAAGTGCTTTGGAAAAACATTTCTATGTTACAAAGTGGGTCCTACCAGGGCATGTATTTGTTGGAGTAAATATTGACTGCTCCTCAGATGAGGAAAAAAAGTACTCTGGTATCATAGAATCACAGAATGTTTTGAGTTGGAAGGAACCTTAAAGCTCATCCAGTTCCACCCACGGGCAGGGACACCTGCCACTTAGACCAGGTTGCTTAAAGCCCTGTCCAATCTGGCCTTGAACACTGCCAGGGATGGAGCAGTCACAGCTTCTCTGGGTAACCTGTGCCAGTGTCTCACCACCCTCAGAGGGAAGAACTTCTTCCTAAGATCTCATCTCAATCTCCCCTCTGTCAGGTTAAAGCCATTCTCCCTTGTCCTGTCCCTACAGGCCCTTGTCAAAAGCCCTTCTCTGGTTTTCTAGTTGACCCCTTTAGGCACTGGAAGCTGCTCTGAGGTCTCCCCAAAGCCTTCCTTCTCCAGGCTGAACAAGCCCAGCTCTCTCAGCGTTTCCTTAGCAGAGGTGCTCCAGCCCTTGGAGCATCTTTGTGGCCTCCTCTGGACTTAGCTATTTGATCAGTCGGAACACTTTTCACTTGACTTCACTATAAAATATTCTTACCTGCAAGTGCTCCCTAGCTGCTGGTGTACCTTGCTGTGCTGAACAATATACATATGAAATTATACTTTCTATCCAATGAGTTAGCTGCCCTTTTGCATGACCAAAGACAGCAGTGCTACCAATGCAACAACAGGGCAATGCTCGTCTGTGTGGTCAATGCTTGTCTGAGTACTGAAGCAGCCAGGCTGCTGTCAAACTATGCAGCAAAGGAGGGTCTTAAGGAAATACTTAAAGGGGTGTTTTAACGATTGCTAGGGAATGCTATGTGTGTGCTTTGTAATTAAAATGGATAGACAAGCAGCTAATGTAGTCAGATTGTTCTAATAGCAATGCCTGACCTAGATTTCATGGGTTATTGAAGATGAAAGTTAATAGCAGGGTTTATCTCAGAAAGGGATATTGGGTAAAAAACAAACACACCCCTTCCACCCTCATTCCCTCCCCCCCCCCCCAAAAAAACAAACAAATAAACCAGCCAACCAGAAGAATGATTTCCTGCAAAAGTTAAAGCAGAATATTTTATCTTTTAGACTAGCCAAAATTGTAAGCCACAATTTCACAATCAGTAGAAGATTGAATGCTTCCTTCCCCCACTCCCCCGGCACACTGCCTTGCAGGAATGTGGTTTCACGCCCTTCTTCTCTGTCAACCAAATTCCAAAAGGGTAATTTCTTACATAACTTAGTTTAGATTGTGAGCTGTGTAAGCGGGGGTGGAGGGGAAGGGCCCCATACTGAAGTGTTTAGAAGAATAAAATTAGCTTATACTGTTTGAGATCTTTAAGTTATTTAAATTGGCACTTATTGGAAACATCTTTTTTACAGTCTTTAAAATAGGATATTCTGAATTCATCGCGATCTTTCCTGATCTCCTTCAATACTATCTGAGAAGTTTAATGCTGAAATGCTTGTATTTCTGGTTTATAAACCTAGGCAGAGAAAACAATTAAAACTTTGAAGCGCTTGTAAGGCTCCATAAAGCAAAAAAAGGGACTGTTTTCATTCCTGATAAAAATAAAACTGATTCTGAAAGCCAAGAATGACATTTCTTAAATTTGCATTAAAAAAAAAATGAAGATTGAAAATAACATCTTTCCTTGATTTACACAGCTTAAAATATTAATTTTTAACCAAGGAACTCTGACAGAAATGTTCCTGTTATTAGTTGCCCCATCTCCTCCCAACCCTAGGCTATTACTCACTGCCTAAGTTCATTGACCAGGTAAAGTGAAAGAGATCTTCTGTCTTAATTTTATAACCTGTACCACTTTCCAGGATAGCCTTGGTGGCAACAGCAAGACTGCTATGGTAGCAACAGTAAGCCCAGCAGCAGACAATTATGATGAGACCCTTTCAACACTGAGGTATGCAGACCGGGCGAAGAACATTGTTAATCATGCTGTAGTGAATGAAGACCCCAACGCTCGCATTATTCGGGAGCTCCGTGAGGAAGTGGAGAAGCTGCGAGAACAGCTCACAAAAGCAGAGGTACAAATTATAGCCTTGACTAGTCAGTAAAACCTCTAAACCCCATTGTCAAGACTTTCTTACCTGGCTTGAATCATGGAAGCCTCAAAGAATGTCTACCTGTTGTCTATGAGGAATTTGCCTTTATATTACTTCTTTCCATTTTTCTCTACATCAGTCTTGAAACACGTGTGATAATATGAGATACCAGGTTCTGTCTGAACACATTGTTGAGCAATCTTGTTTTATTGTGAGGTACAGATCAAAAGCAAGAGGTGGTGGAGGGAGGAATAAGGGTGAACTCTCAACGTTGTGTAGTTTATACGCAGAGCTTAGCCAGTATATTTTAGGAATTCAGTGTGGCTGCATCCTGCGAGGTGTGAATTCAGTTGAACAATGCTTGCTTGCTTACAAGCTTAACTCTTCTCCATTGAATCTCAAACAGGAACTAATTGATACTGTGAATATCTGCATAGCTACCTCAATGAAACTGTGAAAGGAACATGGTCTAAATGTTAGATGAAGGCCAAGAACTAACATAATCCTGAGTTCTCTTCTCAAATGTGGCAAAGCAATGGTGATATAATCCGTCTGTTTTGCAATTCAGAAAAATATGATTGCAATATTTGTCTCATGAGGTATGCAGGAAACGTTGGCTGTGATGTTAGAAATGACTAGTGAGTTTTTTACTGTTCTCATTTGAGCTGCCTAATATGCTAAGCATACAGTAAGTGTATATCAGTTTCTTTAAGGTATCTCAAGTTAAATATATAAAAATCCCTCTAAAATATGAACCACAGACTCAACAGTACACTGAGAGATACAAGTACTTCCTATTTATTTCATTTGTGAACATTAATGCCAAAATAATGGCAGCTTTCCAAAGTAATGAAATAGTGTTTCCTCAATATGAAGTAATACATATTTCCTTTCCCAAGTATTAAAATCCCACCCTAGTTGTCATCTCAGTGGCCTTGACAAAGCTCATGGAAAAAAAGATGTAGTTTGCCCTATTAAAAGGCTACACAGTGAAGGTCAAAATCCATATACTTTGTCTTGTATTCCTTTTAGTTTATTGTATTTTTGGCCCATCTCTTTGTTCTTACAGAAATGTGTATAAACAACTTGAACAAAAGTGTTGACCTGTTATGACAGCCAGGCTACATTTTTAAAGCTTGTTTCCAAATATAGAGGTTACCAAACTGTGGGTTTGGATTTTTTTTTTTCCCCTTTTGGTGTCCATATCCTTTTCTCTCCTAAACAGCCATGGCAGAACAGAGTTCGACATTTCACTTTTTTACCTCAGAAGAGTAAAGCATTAGCCTCTTTTCCCCCCTTTTTTTTTCATCCACACATCTCTTCTTTTCAAAATTGATATCCCATGTTTTAACATCTGTGCCAAGACCACCAGATTGTCCTTCCTAAGCTGGTAATTTAAACCAACTGCTTTCAGCATAGAAGCACACATGCAGGTCTGGTGTGAACCTCGGCCCATCTATCTGTTTATATAAGCATTGTAGGTAGTGAGGAGGATTACCTAGCTCATTTTACAGTTGAAGCATGTGAAAATGTTGAGTAATTTTGCCTCGGGTCCAAATAAATGGCCAAACAAGATTTAGACTTCGAGAGCAACTGGCCTTCATCTGCCTGTCTTCCATATCATTGGTGCAAAGACACTGGATGCTATTTTATCACTCATAATACGTCTTTGTTCTGGAGACTGCCTTGGCTTCGTTTTCCTTCCCAGATGGAATTCATGTTCCCTTTTATCCTGTATTTAGATATTTAAACCTGGAAAAGATTGCACAGGACACATCAGCTGTCAGTTTCTACTGTTGTGTCTTGAGGCAGAGGAAATTCCTGTCTTAGAACAGGATTTTCTGCTTCTGGCACTTGCTCCTTTTCTTGCACAAACTGCAGTGTAATGAGGCCAATCTGATTTGGATTCCCCTGAAGAGTGTTGGCTTTGTGGAAAGGGAGTGTGTGATGGACAGCAATGCTTGCATTGTTTAATTGGCATTGCATAAACACCTATCAGCCAAAACCATTTTCATCTTGTTAGCAGTAATGAAATAATCATAGAATAGTTAGGGTTGGAAAGGACCTTAAGATCATCTAGTTCCAACCCCCCTGCCATGGGCAAGGACACCTAAGGCTAAATCATATCACCCAAGGCTCTGTCCAACCTGGCCTTGAACACCTCCAGGGATGGTGCATTCACAGCTTCCCTGGGCAACCCATTCCAGTGCCTCACCAACCTTACAGTAAAGAATTTCTTCCTTATGTCCAATCTAAACCTCCCCTGTTTAAGTTTTAACCCATTACCCCTTATCCTATCTCTACAGTCCCTAATGAATTGTCCCTCCCAGCATCCTTATAAGCTCCCTTCAGATACTGTAAGGCTGCTATGAGGTCTCCACGCAGCCTTCTCTTCTCCAGGCTGAACAGCCCCAACTTTCTCAGCCTGTCTAGAGAAGGAATATACCAGTGCCAAGACTGGAGGATGTAAATATAAGTAGCATAAGAAATATCCTTTCATTTTTTTGAGAGTTTGATGCATGCGGGGGGATGGGGGTGGGGTGGGTAACTTCTTATCTCAAGTTAGTCCTTGGGTAGAACATGGCCCTTTGACTATTTCACAGAACAAAATTAGAGCTATGATGGATTAGCAAGAAACCTGAATTCATGTGTCTGGAAGCACACATTAAGGCTCCTTTCTAGGCTTTATCCACTTCGTAAAATACGTAAGTAAATGCAGAGGCGGATAACCAGAGCACCTCAAATGACTTCGTGTTTGGTATAGAAAGAAAACAATGACACCCATCAGGCCATATCAAAATGAACAAGAAAAATATTTTGGTGGCATATCAGTTTGAGTGACTGAGATGTCACGTTCCATTTTGAGGGAACAACAGCTGAGAGGATGGTGGCTGGCCAGATCAGCAGTATTTTCAGGAACAAGGTTGGTTTAGATATGAGTTGTTTGGGACACTCATTTTGCGTTTTAATATCTTTGTGCAAATCTGCCATCATCATTTAATTGGTTTGCATTGAAGTCTATAAACTCCAGCATCTGTACTTGAAACTAATTAAACTAAGATTTGGATGGATTCTGCATTTATATGCAGTATGTATTTTAAAAATGCATTTACTTACTGGTAAGCATGCCTTGAAAAAATGAGTAGAGTTATGTTTCCTTTTTTTTCCCAATCTGTGTGACAGCAGTGTGAATGGAAGAAAAGCACAACAAGCTCTCTTCTGTTTCTGCAGGCTATGAAATCACCAGAATTAAAAGAACGATTGGAGGAATCAGAAAAGTTGATTCAGGAAATGACTGTGACCTGGGAAGAAAAATTAAGAAAAACTGAGGAGATAGCACAGGTTTGCCGCTTTCTTTTCTCCTCCTTTTTTAAAATGAAAAATAGGTTTGTTTCCTTTGTCTGTCAGTTCATAGTCAGAATATCTCCCCACATTTAGGGTAAGTAGGTCAAGCTTCCTGTCCTTTTGAAAAGCTTCACTTAATTCCTGTGATAGCTGGGGGCATCTCAGATTACTATTCCAGTGACAATAATAAATTGTTACTGTATGCAAATGGAGAAGTTATTTAAAAAAAATAAAAATCCATGGATGAGAGGATTACAGGGGGTTTATATTCTTCAGACAGTAAAATCATTGTTTGTGATGGAAGATGAGAGCATTGGGAGTGTTAAATGCAAGGTTATTTACACAGAGCCTCAATATACAAGGCAAAGGGCATTCAGAATATTGAAAAATAGCACTGTTCAGGATCCCTGTGTGTTTTAAGACCTCTTACACTGATATTTAGGGCCTCAGACCGTAATTGAATATGATGGTTACATTGAAAAGTTGTGCAGGTCACCATGATTATTGTATGACACCTCCAGTTCTTACCACACAAGCGCTGATGTATGTGTTTGCAGTAGGGAGCTTTTGAGGGGGAGGTCTATTGAAAGGTGATGAATAGTATGTAATAAATAAGAAGAAAGTGGAGCCTCTGATACAAAGCCCTCTTGTAGATGACACAATTAGAATAGACTGTGTTGATTCTGGTTTTAAAGATCCATTGTAAGAAGAGCTGCTTGTGGCTACGAGGGCTTCCTGGCTTTCAATGCAGATTCATACATGGATTTTCCTCCCTATGTATAAGGGTGGAAAAAACTAAAAAATAACAGTAAGATTTCTGCTTTCATCCTACACAATAGTTTCTCGGCACACAAACCCTGAGTGTTCGAGGAGGTTGAAAAATTAGAGTGATGGCCTCAGTGGCACAGATTAAATCTGCCTCGATGTTTGCACCTTTGCTTTAGCTCTCCTGCTCTTTGTCTCTAAATTTGCAGTCTGTTACGATGCTTCAGAGCTGAGAGTCTGGTGAACAGACTGCTCCAGTGTGGATCCTTTCCAAGTGGTGCTGTCCTTCAGGAACAGGCTGCTCCAGCGTGACTGCCATAGGGTCACAAGTCCTGCCAGCAAACCTGCTCCAGCCTGGGCTCCTCTCTTGATGATCCTGCCAGGACCCTGCTCCAGCAGGGGCTTCCCATGGGATCACAGCCTCCTTGGGGCATCCACCTCCTCTAACATGGGGTCCTCCATGGGCTGCAGGGGGATATTTGCTCCACTATGGACCTGCATGGGCTGTGGGAGCATAGCCTGTTTCGCCACGCGCTGCAGGGGAATCTGCTCCAGTGCCTGGAGCACCTCCTCCCATTCCTTTTTCACTGGCCCAGGGGTCTGCAGGGCTGTTCCTTTCACATGTTCTCACTCCTCTGTCTGGCTGACATTGCTCTTGTCAAGTAACTTTTTTACCCTTTTTAAATACATTATCCCAAAGGCCCTACCACTGTTACTAATGGACAGTAGCACAGCAGGGGTCTGTCTTGGAGCTAGCTAGTGTTGGCTCTGTCAGACATAGGGTAAGCTTTTAACAGTTTTTCGTTGAAAGTAGCCCTGTAGTCCTCCCCTGACTACTAAAACCTTGCCACGCAAGCCTAGTACAGTAGGCTTAGACAGGTCCGAGGTTAAATTCATTTATATCATGGCTTGTCATGTGACTTTATTTCTGGCCAGCATCCACTAACATCTGTCTTGTCAAATTATATCAGGGGAGGCAGGTAGGATAGAAAGGTAATTGTAAATCTCTGAGGAAAGGATGATTCCTCATAAAGACTGAGGGCCATCAAAGGCAGTTTGTAGAGATGGAGCAGCAGAAATGGTTCAAAGCCTTAAAGACTGTGTGAACAGGCAATTTTTTCACATTTTCAGTGAAAGTTTGACATACTTTTAATGTAATTTGAAAGTTTAAGTTAATTAACATTAGGTCTTGAGCAAAAGTTAAACAGGCTCATTATCTTTAAGGTAATCCTATGAGATTTTGACTGTGGGCCAAGTCCTCCTTTGGGCAACACGTTCTTTATCTCTGTAGATAATAAGGGATTCTGTGAACTTCGGAGCCTGGCACTGGTGATCGGAAGAGAGATCTTTGACATCATACTGCAGTTTTTTTTTCTGTTCTTTGTGGTGTTTTTTTTTCTCTCACACACATGACTTTTCCGTATGAGGACCATTATGTCGGTTTTGTAAGTGTGTGGGGACAAAGGGTAGAGAAAATCACAAGCAAGTTGTGCTGGATATTCTTTGCAATTTTATTCTTGATTAGACCTGTTATAGCCCCAGTGCTGAGCAGAGAATTTCACTGAATAGTATGACATATCTAGTTTTTAAATACAAAGCAAATTGGTAGGTAAAGGTCAGAACCTTAATAAATACTCCAGCATTATTCCTACATAATCTCTGCTAATTTTAGGGGTTTTTTTAATTATTATCCTCCTCCCCTGTTTCTTCTTCCCTGTAATAATTGTGTGAGAGGCCTTCCAAGTTTATTTTTTAAATGTTTTTTGCTGTTGTGGATAGTGAGTCTCATTTCAGTTTCTGTATGATCCTGGGAACAATCCTCAACATTTCTATTGCAATGCTTTTTATAAAAGAATCCCTTTCGTTTTTTAAGTCAGAAACGCTCAGTGTTCCTCTTTCACTGCTCTAGTCTTCACCCAAACACTTCCCTTTGAAAGATGTACATTTTTGCACAGTAATGCTTTGTTGTTGAATACTATGAAGTCTATTGACAAGAACAAAACACCATCCAAAATGCTACTATTCTTGTTCAGCAGGAAGTGTTATTTGCATTAGTTAAATAGCAGGTTGCCAGTTTTTTGTCATTTTGATTGCTCTGGAACAAAAGATAGACATGGAGCTTGACTTGGCAGGGATTTAACTTAACTTGTTGCTTTTTAGCTCAAAAGAGGAAAATAAAGGGCTCTAGAGATGTCTTTGTGGTAGCATTTTGCTGTTCCAGTGAGGTCATGGAGAAGCTCCTACAGTACTGCAGTGTGCTTTTCTCGGCTGTTTTCATTTTCCACTGGGAAGATGCAACTGTGTGAGACCGTAGCACGTAGCCCTCGGAGAGCAGAGGTGGAAGGACAAGAGAAGCTACAGATACCCACATCAAAAATGATATAATTAGGGGGTTTGTGTCTAATCTCGTGCAGAAGAGTTACCTTTCTCAGAAGCAGCAGTTCATCATTTGGTCGTGTGGCTTTGGCAGATACGAATGCATTTCTGAAGGGCTGTACATCAGTCCACTTAATTTTGATGGCTGCTTTCTTGCAGGAGCGTCAGAAACAGTTGGAAAGCCTTGGCATATCTCTTCAGTCTTCTGGAATAAAAGTTGGAGATAATAAATGCTTCCTGGTTAATTTGAATGCAGATCCAGCTCTCAATGAACTTCTGGTATACTATTTAAAGGTAAAAATAAATATATTTTTTTTTAATAGAATTAAGCTGTAATGCCACTGGCAGAGGTACACTTGGAAAATTTTATCAAAGCTGCACATCTAAAGCATTCTCCATTATTCACTGCTTCATTAAAAATGATTACAACCTTTTTTTCAAATTTAATTCTTCATAGTAGAGGAAGGTTTGGGTATTTTATGGTTTTGGTTTGTTTTTTTGACAGAAATTTAAAAGTGCTGTCTTTAAGAAACTATCCCCTGGTTGCAGGAGGAGGGGGCTGTTGTGTTTGTTTTTTTTTTTTAATGCCAACATTCACAGTGTTTTACTCAGGAAAATGTTTTATATAAAGATTGGGCATATCAATAATCCTCTTGCTTCTACATATGTAGTCCAAATTCTGACTACTATCTGCAGTTTATAAATTGTATTTTTTTCCTCTAAGTGGAACTTGCCAGGAGTGAAAATCACGTTCTGTTCTGCCTTAGCACTTCTGTTGATATACAGTCCCCATTACTGATGTTAAACATAAAACATGTGATGTGACTTCTGGACTCTGCACTGAAACATTTGGGCAGTTTGTTCTAGTTTAACGAACTGTAGATGTGATCTGGAGCCAGGAGAAATGAAGTGCACCCATTTTGAAGTCACATTTTAGAGTGCAAGTTCTAACATTTTATCAGTGTAAGAACATCAGCAGCCTGAGCTTCACATTAAATCATTTTCTTCTCTTTGAAGTGGTCTGTAAAAACTTTCAAAACAGCCACAAAATTAGCAATTGGGCTGAAAGATAGGTTTGGTTTAGTCGGTCTGAGGAAATACATTATCCTCTTTAATATTAGTCATTGTTGCTCTGTGGTATCTTCATGAAAGCAAGGGAAATAACTTTTTCAATGTTGTATCTGCTAAGAAGTATTAAGAAAGACAAAAGAGCTGAGGTTTCGGAAGAAGAATTGAATTCTTTCCAGACACCTTTCATGTAGGTGTCCAGTGTATGACTCAAGCTGCTAAATCAGTCTTGGCACTGACAACTGTTGGAGCAGCGGCAGCTTCTGTGGTGTTCATTGGGAACACATGACAAAAGCGTGCTGAGACCAAAGCCTAATCAGAAAACAGGCCTTGGCTCATCAGCACCAGCAGAAAAGTCTCAGGTGGTACTGTGCTGCTTTCTGTTTTAGACAAAACCCCTTTGCATGGGGTAGGCTTTGTGTGTTTCAGTTAATTTATTATTATTTTTTTAATAACACAGATTTGTATTGTTAGTTGAGAATTCTGGTGTTGAAATCCCTGTGCTTTTAAATTCTTCTGATAAAATGACCTAGACCTGTTTTGCCTGAAATTCTGAGATTGCTGAGCTGCAGATGTACTCGATCTTAAAAGTACTGAAGAATGATTTGACCTGACTTATCTAGGCTGTAGTATCGGTCCTCAGAAACTGGTTAGAGATACCTAAAAAAGAAATGGATGGGTTGGGGCATGTGTAGCATGATCCTTCATTTGTCAAATCCGTCATGTCTTGAGTACTTCAGAAATTTCCTAAGCTGTTGGAACCAGCATAATAGCTGTGGATCTAACCATTGAGAACCTGTCTTATTTCCTCTTTGAACTCTTTTATTTTTTAGTTTTTACTTCTACAACATCCCAAGGCACTGACTTCTGCAATTAAATTATAGAAACCTCTTCATCACAGGATTTAATTGTTGTCTGTAAACTTTCCTGAGTGCTCCTACTTGTTACTGTTAGCCAAAGCAAGGATTTGCTTTTGCAATGTATCATTCTTCTTTTTCCCTTCTAAGTGAAGTATTAAGTAGCTTCCAAATTTGGATCTAGATGAAAAGGTACATCCAGAAGGAGAATGGATTGATTAGAACAAGTGAACTTTTGCAACCCATTGCTAACATCTGAATTAATTTTCCCCAGGAGCACACATTGATAGGCTCAGACAACTCTCAAGATATCCAGCTGTGTGGAATGGGAATTCTTCCTGAACACTGCATTATAGACATCACCCCAGAAGGACAGGTTATGTTAACACCTAAAAAAAATACTAGGTAAAGGAATAAAATACAGCTCCTGTTGTATAATAATTGTAGTTTTATCTAGTATTTTATGACTATTGGTGCAAAAAGATAATTAGAAAATAAACATTTCTTTCTGTTTTTAAGGGAGGAAATTCTACTTCTTGTATCTTGTTTTCACATTTTGCTGTCATTTAGCCCTCTGTCAACTCATCTTTCATTTGAGATTTCTCTCAGTGATGGTGTTGTAAGTTCTCAAAGAGGATGAGCAAATTGCATGTGCTTTCAGCAATGAGATACTGATTTGCAGCTGTGTAGCTGTAACTGTCAAAATTTGAATTAATTTTCTAGGAAATCTGTTGATATGCAAAGAGCTGCTGAAGCATTTGTTGCTTTATTTGATTAAGTAGCAGTACTTGAAAGGCAGATGGTATATTCAAATTGATCACAAAATGGCTTGCATTGTCAGCATCTCTAGTAATTTATTGTTAGGTACACAAAATTCAGCAATTTCACATTTCCCATCATTTGTAGTTGATCCTGCTTTGGGCAGGACATAGGGACTGGGTGACATCATGAGTTTCCCTTCAAATTTGAGTTATCCTATGGTCATATTTTCAAACTTAATCTGATTCTGAAATAAAAGTAGTTTCTGATTATTCTTAGTTTATTGTCTTTAAGCCATTTATATAGCAAAGGTCTCTAATGTCTTATTCAAATGTTACTATTTTGTGTCTGCATTTCAAAGTACTGTGAAAAGTGTTTATTTGTAGCGACATTATCTTTTTTCAGGTCCCTCATTTTTAACCTCTAATTATACTCCCCAGATATAGCTGTTATTACCTATCCAAAAACACTGAACTCCATAAGCAGTCAAAAGAAGCTGCTTTTGAGGATTTTATGAAACAGCACAGTAGATCAGTGAAGTTTCTGGAGATATTTTGCCTGTTTGCTGCAATCCATAAACCTGTTCTTCTTCCCTAACTATTTACAATAATAAAGTAGTACTGGGATAAAAAAAAAAAACAAACCAACAAAAAACCTTATATAGATGTATTTGCTTTAGATTTTTGCCTTTTCACAGGACGTTCGTAAATGGTTCTGCTGTCATGTGTCCTATCCAGCTACATCATGGAGACAGAATACTGTGGGGAAACAACCACTTCTTCAGGTACAAAAGACATTAAAGAAATTATAAGTTTGTGCCAACTTGGTTTTATCTTAAGGTATAAAGAAAGAAGTCAGTGGAGCATTCAAGCTTCAGGAAGAGGTGATTTCTTTTACATTGGGATTATAATCTTAGAATGGTTTGGGTTAAAAGGGATGTGAAACCTCATCCAGTTCCAACCCCCTGCCATCGGCAGGGACACCTTCCACTAGACCAAGTTGCTCCAAGCCCCATACAACCTGGCCTTGAACACTGCCAGGGATGGGGCAGCCACAGCTTCTCTGGGCAACCTGTGCCAGGGCCTCACCACCCTCACAGGGAACAACTTCTGCCTAAAATCTCATCTCAATCTCCCCTCTGTCAGTTTAAAGCCATTCCCCCTTGTCTTTGCAAAAAACCCCTCTCCAGTTTTCTTGTAAAAAGGCAGTGCTGATGAATTATTGTTCTTGAATACTAAATATTATAACAACTGTGCTTGTTTTCAATTTTGGAGCACTATCTTGACTCTAAATTTTGTATTTTCAAAGGGACTGTAATCTTGCTGATAAGGACCTTGCTGTGGTTACCAATAATATTATCTCATCAAAGAGATTTAATTTTTGAGCTGGTGTCTTTAAGATGGCTTGGTACCACATTAATACTAAGTACGTTCTCCTCCACGGTGAAAATATTACACCCAAGCCTTGACTTGGGTAGGTTGCATTTTGGATTTTGCAGATAAGGTATTAGGTTGTTGACCTATGTTATACAGTGATCTGGGTCTTACAAATTTACTGTTTTCTGAGTTCCCTGGAGTACTGTCTCCAGACATACCTACACTCTTCCTCTATCAGACAGGATCATTGATAAGAGTTTTCAATGAAAGACTCAGTTTTTGAAACCCTCTGTGGTGGGTGTGAAATACCTTAAAGGTTAGTGCGTTTAAATGATAATCTAAAACTAAATTGGTTTCATTTATGCTTGAAAGAAGAATCTGTATAAAAAGAGAGATAAATTTTCATTATTGCCTCTAAATTATTTGAATATGTGACAACTGAAAAAATTAATGGTCATCTAAACTATATGATTAGTAATGGCAGGTATTCTCTATTATTAGAGTGTAGAATAGATTAGTTTGCCTTGAACTCCCCTGTTTACACTGAGGAAAACTACACTCGTAGATCAACAGATTTTGAAAGGAAAAAACTTACAGATTTGGATAATCTGCTTTATTTTAATAGTCTTTGAAAGCAACCCTTTGTTTCAGAGTTGAGCAATTAATAGTCCTTTAAAAATTTTCCTGTTTTTGAAAGGCTGAATTTGCCAAAGAAGAAAAAGAAGGCAGATCATGAGGATGAAGAGCGAGACAACTCTATGAAGTGCAGTAATAGTGTTGAACAGCTGGACATAGATGGGGACAATTCCAGTGAAGTGTCTAGTGAGATTAACTTCAGCTATGAGTATGCTCAGATGGAAGTCACTATGAAGGCGCTTGGTAGCAATGGTAAGAAGCCACAGAAATTACTGGAAGTATGTACAGAGTACAGGGTTACATCTTCAGGGACTTTTAACCTCAGACTTTTTCCCTCATAACTTCCTACCGGTGAATTTTTCTTGTGAATGACTCATCATAGCCATTTTTGCAATTGAAGTGGGGGGGGAAACATTGCAGACTGTTTGCTTTGGCAGTTCTTGTCGAGGAAAAAGCCAAAACTGGAACACTGGTGGAATTGCAGCCTGCTATCAAAGTGTTTTCACTTTGTTGTTGTTGATTTTTCTTGTGTTATGTCTCACTCAGTCATTAACTCCCTTGATTTCTGTCTTTGAAACCATGTTCTTTGGTTTTTGTGGTATTATGTAGCTGTCCCAGAATGACATTAATTTGGGAAACAGGAAGAAGTTTTTTCAGCTTGTTCTTTTGCTTTTCTGAATTCTCTTCAATCATCCATCCAGTCTGTTCTGTAGATGTTTATTTTGTTCAACACTTCAGCAACTTTTTTTTAATATGCATTACAACAAAAATGTAATCTCTTCCTCCTTTTATATGATAACTGTATTTACTATCTAGGACGTTCCTCACCATGAATTTCAGTGGCTATCTCAGGCCCTAATATGGATAACAGCAGATAGAGAATGGAGAAGGAAAGTACCAAAACATAATAATTTCCACCTTGCTCAAAGTCATACAGCATCTCTGTAGCAGAACATGGGAAAAATCTCGTATTTCAGAGTCCCCCATCTCTGCCCCATTTTCATTACATGACTGTTTCAATTTGAATTTTACGATTAACAGGAATTTGACCCCCAGAAGTACTAGCTTCTTTATTTTCAACATCTGCTTAGATCCAATGCAGTCAATCTTGCAAAGCCTGGAACAGCAACATCAAGAAGAGAAGAGGTCTGCACTTGAACGACAGAGACTGATGTACGAACATGAACTGGAGCAATTGCGAAGGCGATTGTCGCCAGAGAAGCAGCATTTCCGCAGCATGGACAGGTTCTCTTTTCACTCCCCCAGTGCCCAGCAGCGCTTACGCCAGTGGGCGGAGGAGAGGTGAGTAATCAAATCTGACCCTCAGGAGTGTTCATTTAAAGTTCTTTAGTGCTAGTGATTTTTGCAGGATTTAATTGCATATCTCTGCAGAATTTCTGAGAGGACTCCTGTGGGGGACAGGGGAGGACAGGTTGAAAATATTGGAGTAATCAGACCTATGATGCTAGAAAAGATAAGAAAGAATGAGTGCCTGCTTTGTTGTTAAGGAGAAACTTTCCTGATGAGCAATGAATTTGTCTAACAAGGTGATTGGAAGACATTTTGAGACTCCCATATGAGTTTGTTGTTCTGTGGATCATGACTCAGCTGCTGGAAGGTTGTTTTTACTCTTGACTCCCATCCATCTGTCTGAGCTGGACAGGTCTTGACAACTAGAAGAGTGCAAAAAGAAAAGGGAATAGAAGGATGGTAAGAAGAATTTTGATCCAGAGCAATGCAAAACTTGTTCAATAACCACAGAGGAGCCACTGTCCTCTTTGCCTCTTTCTAGGCAATTGCACTGAGGTTATTTACTTCAGCCTCTAATGATCTTTGCCAGTATTACTGTCAAAAGAGAAGCTGCAAGAAGAAGATGAAGCTTACCCGAAAACAAGGAGTATGATAAAAACATTGTACAAATCTAATTTATATGTCTAGAGAAGCAATCTTTGAAATATTTTTGAAAATATTTGAGAAAGCCTATTAAGGTATTAGCTCTGTGACTGGAATATTTTGTGGTACCAGATTCCTGTGTTGCACAGTTGGTTCACTCTGATGCTTGTCAGGAAAGCCAGTGAGCAAGTGGGTATGGTGTCTGAATAAACCTTTCTCTGTAAATGGAACATCCACATCTGTGGTGGGGAAACTCTGGAATAAGCCACACAAGAGCTGACTGTTCAGCAGATGCATGGAGAAGTCTCCAAAGCCAGCAGTATGTTAATGTTTATACTGCTAAACTCATAATCTTATTTGCTTGGGTTGGTTTTGGGTTTTTTCCCTCAGAAGAAATGAAATTTAATTTACCTGATTTTTATGTTAAAAATCATAGAATGGTTTGGATGGAAGGGACCATAAAGGTCATACAGTTCCAAAACCCCTGCCATGGGCTTCTCTAGAGCCAGAAGTCCCATTGCATGAGTCATGCTCTCTTGTTAGTCTTTTAAAAGGTTTCAGTAGATGCTTTGGAAAAATATTTCTGTGTTACGAAGTGGGTCCTACCAAGCCATGTATTTGTTGGAGTAAATATTGGCTGCTCCTCAGGTGAGAAGAAACCCACATAGAAGCATAGAATGGTTTGGCTTAGAAGGGACCTTAAAGACTGTCTAGATCCAACCACCCTGCACAGGGACACCTTCCACTAGAAAAGGTTGCTTCAAGCCTTGTCCAACCTGACCTCGAACACTGCCAGGGATGGGGCAGCCACAGCTTCTCTGGCCAACCTGTGCCAGGGCTTTACCACCCTCACAGAGGAGAGCTTCTTCCTTCTTCTCATCCCAATCTCCCCTCTGTCAGTTTAAAGCCATTCCCCCTTGTCCTGTCCCTACAGGCCCTTGCCAAAAGCCCCCTCCAGCTTTCTCGTTGGCCCTTTTAGGCACTAGAAGCTGCTCTGAGATCTTCCCAGAGCCTCTGTTCTTCTCCAGGCTGAAGAAGCCCAGCTCTCTCAGCCTGTCTCCATAGCAGAAGTGCTCCAGCCCTCAGAGTATCTTCGTGGCTTCCTCTGGACTTGCTGAGTCAGCCTGAAGGCTTTTCTCTTCAGCTGACTAGGGATACTTACCACCCTAAGGATCTGTAACATCACCATTTCATGGTCACTGCAGCCAAGACTGCCCTTGAGCTTCACATTCCTCACCATCCCCTACTTGTTGGCAAGAACAAGGTCCTTGTTCTCTCCTCATTGACTCAGCAGATATTGGGGTGTGGTTGAAGTCCCACATGAGGACCAGACCTTGTGACTGCGAGGCAGTTACTGTCTGTCTACAGAGAGCCTCATCCGCTTGGCCTTCCTGGTCAAGTCTTCTGTAGGCAGACCTCCACTGTAATGTCACCTGTCCTTCCCTCTAATCTTGACCCATAAGCTCTCAGTCAGCTCCTCACCCATCCCAGGGGTTGCCCCATGCACTCCAGCTGGTCATTGACATAGGGCATGACACCCCCTCTTTGTCACCTCATCCTGTCTTTCCTGAAAAGCCTCTATCCTTCCATTCCAACACTCCACTCACAGGAGCCATCCCCCACATCTTTGTGATACCAGTAAGATCACAGCCCTGCAAGTGTGTGCATGTCTCTAACTCCTCTTGTTTATTCCCCGTGCTATGTGCGTTGGCATAGCGGCATTGAAGTGGGCCCCTAATGAAGCTGATTTCCCGATTGGATGTTAAGATTCCTTCCTGTCAAGGGATGATTTGTTTTGCACTCAGTTCAATATTTAAACGTTGTGATTTTTTTTTTTTTCCTGTCTCCCCTTCCATATCCCCCTCTTTTAGAGAAGAAATGCTGACCCATAGCCTGAGAAAGCTGCGAGAGCAGATTGTTAAAGCCAATTTATATGTGAGAGAAGCCAATTTTATCGGAGAAGAACTGGACAAGAGGACAGAATATAAAGTTACCCTCCAGATCCCAGCTTCAAGCCTTAATGCTAACAGTAAGGTAAGGTAGCCCTAATGGAACAAAATTTTTCAGTATGTTTGCCCTTTAGCATTCACGTTTGTTGTGTTATGACTTCAGTGGTCTAGCTAGTTTGCCAGTCTAGTCATGTGTATTAAATATGGCTCTGTTGGCACACTCTACATTCTAATCTTATTTCATTACCATGAAAACCTGATATATACTATCTTACTGATACCTGTATTGGTGCAAGTCCTTTTCAGTGGTGTTGAACTTCAGACTTGCTTCTGTTGCATGGTGACAAAATCTGTGTAGGTTAGGTAACATCTGCTTCAAGTACTCACCATCTCCTTGTGGACGTTTGGCTTTCCATCACCTAGTGAGCTGGGAAAATGCTGTCATCTCCATTGTGGAGGAAGGAGCTGGAGCAAAGAGGTTTTGGGTTATTTGTTCTGGGCTTAGAAATCATTGAAGGAGGGAACTGAACCCAAACATCCGTGTCTCGGGCTGGCTACCTAAGTTGGTATTATTCATGTTCTTGGCATCAGCTCAATATTTTGGGAATACTCATGCTGTCATGAGTACAGTAGATGTATTTTATTCCAGGATTAGAATTTTTATCAATTACTTTAAAAGTTTCACTTGTCTGCTTTTTTTTTTTTTTTTTTTTGTTTTGCAGTCTTCTGACACACCTAGAAACAGGATGGTAAAGAGGGTTAAGTGTTTGCACTAGTTGAAAGTTGCAGACAGTAGTAATCTTATCTGGGACTCCAGGCCTGCTGTAACTTGATATTTGTGAAATGCTTAAATGTTCCTACTTCTAATACTTATGTAAGGTGAAAAGCCATGGAAACTAGTGCCTGTAGTTGTGATTAGACTTCACAGTTAAACTGCACACAAATATACTGTGACAGCCAAGCTCAGAGTCTGTCATACTTGAACTTGAAGCTAGAATTAAAAAAGAACAGAATCTAGACTTTTGCCAAAGATCTTCTCAGTTTTGTATTGGTTTTAAACTGCCTTTTCCTTGTTGTTACACAACTCACTTACTTATATCTCTAATTGTTTCATAGAGAGGGGCAATTCTCAGCGAGCCTGCTATTCAGGTGAGAAGGAAAGGGAAAGGCAAACAGATTTGGTCACTGGAAAAGCTGGAGAATCGATTGGTAGATATGAGGGATCTTTACCAGGAGTGGAAAGACTGCGAGGAAGACAACCCAGTAAGTAAAAATTACTCCAGTATTGTGCTGATAGAACTACATTCCTGTTAAATTTTATGTTTAAGCAGATGTGAGAAAATCTTCTGGTTCAGGAGGGGGAGGGTAAAGATTGGGAGAAAGTATGTAGAGAGAGAAGTTTTTCTGAGCTTTTTCTTTTCCTGGTGCTGAAGTGGTCTTCAGGATGTCATTAAGCCTTTTTTGTCACTGATGCTTGTTTGCATACATAGGTTGGTGATAGAATCAAGTGTACAGTAAGAAGCCGTATGTAAACACAATAGCAGTTGAGGCTGACTTCTCTGTTTCTGGTGACATAAAGGAGAACTTGCTGAGGACAGGCCTTATACTTGGTCCAAAGTGAAATTCAGGTTTCCATTTTTGTGATCTAGTCTAGCCTATTGCTTGAGTCCATTTTTCTTTCATTAGGTTGGTTGTGCAACACTTTGAAAGCCTTTTCATGAAAAGTTTGGTTTTCTTACATTATTATGAATTTGATTGAAGGTGATGAGGGCTTACTTCAGGCGAGCTGACCCATTCTATGATGAGCAGGAAAACCACAGCCTTATCGGAGTAGCTAATGTGTTTCTTGAGTGCCTCTTCTATGATGTGAAGCTACAATATGCTGTTCCAATCATCAACCAGAAGGGAGAGGTTTGTCATTCTTCCATAATATATCCTTACTTATTTAATTGGAGCCTGTGTATCTCATTACCAGCATATAGCAGGTATTTTCCAGTTTCATGTGGACAAGCTCTTTGCTAATGATTTGGAATTATGCAAATCACATACTAACTTGTTAGAGTTGTATAGACAGTTCTGGTTCCCAGCATGGTGACTGTAAAATGAGGAAAACCTTTTTAAGCAGCTTTGTGAGTGAAGCAACCCAAATAAATACTTCATAAAACAACTATGAGCCCCACTGGCTTTCACTGACTACTATCAAGAATAGGCTCTTAAATATATGCTGTAAGAACAACTTCAAAGGCACCTAAAGCATGCCAGGTAACATTCTTCAATCTCTGGGTGTTTTTAATTCATTGCCTAGAGAAGCTGTGGCTGCCCCATCCCTGGCAGTGTTCAAGGCCAGATTGGATGGGGCTTGGAGCAACCTGGTCTTAGTGGAAGGTGTCCCTGCCCATGGCAGGGGGTTGGAGCTGGTTGAGCTTTAAGTTCCCTTCCAACCCAGACCATTTTATGATTCTATGATTCTCTGTGTTGTTCATAACATGAACTTTGCAGACTCTCTAGAGACTGGTGTGAAGGTGAAATTGCAGTATGGTGTTCCCAAAGTTAATCTAGTGGCTGATTATTTTATAATTTTATAACAAAGGCTCTTTGAGCCTAGCTCCAAAGTGTTCATCTCATGCAACAAGAGCACAGTACAAGATAATAGAAAGGAATAAAATGTTGTCTGCTTACACACTGGAAGCAGCAGTAGCTGTAATTACCTGAAAAGGGAGGAAGCTGTCACTGTTTTCTGGCACACAGGTAATTCTTACTCTTTTTTTTATCAGGTATCAGGTCGTCTCCACGTTGAAGTTGTTCGAGTTAGTGGAGAGATAGACGACAGGTTGGTTGGAGGTGAGGATAGTCCAGACTATTCAAATGAAAATGATGTTCAGGAGAGAAAGCTTGTCTGCAGGGTGAGTTCCAGTTATATCCCAACCTATGAGCAACTTTCTCTCTTTCCATCCAAAGTCTTAAATGTTAAAGAAGTCCCTGGTTTGTTGGCTTCTGGACCTTAGATGTCTCTTTGGAACCTTGTGTATCATGTTTGCTTCCAGTATGCAGCCACAGAGGCAGAGTCCTGTCTTTGTACTCATTGATTGAGTATATGAAATTGTATTGATGTTTCAGGAGTAACAAATAATAAAAATAGGGCAAATAATTTAGCTGTACCTAATGATTCAGTTGTATGCACAGAGTTTAATACTTTTGCTGTATTTGTTTCATGGCCTTATGTAATGACCTGGGTCCCAGTGTTTGTCCTGAAGCGCTGCTGTGTTTTCTCATGGAATTTTATTTCTGGGGTGGCTAAAATAATACAAGATAACTGGATGGGGTTTGTTCCTTTCAGTCTCCATGATTTATTTATTTATTTTCTTTAAGTCTTCAAGGTATTAAACTATATGCCCATAAAGTTCATTATAGTATTGGAAATGAAAGATCTGTGCTCTAGGATTAGAGCTACACTAATTCAAAAGGAGTCAGAACCTGATAAACTCCCATTGTTCTGTGAATCATTCTCAGCATTTCTCTCTCTAAATATTAGTTTGTGAAATACATACAGGTGTATTTATTATTGTCAATAATAAAAGGAAAGTGTTTACTAGCAGTTTCACGTTGTAGTAAAACACAGGATAGGCTAAGCTACAGCTAAGAAAAGAGAGAGGCAAAAAGCACTAGGAGGGAATGGTACCCTGGCTTCTGGACAAAATGAACAATTTGGGGGCAGTTGTATTCCTTTTTATGTTTTTTCCTGTCCCACAGAGCTCCAAGTGCTTGCAAGCAGTATGGGATATTGTTGCAGGAAACATATCCTCCTGAGGATCTTGAGTGCTGCCTTACTATAGAAGCCTGTCTAATTTTATCTTAACTTGACAAATGGGGAACAGAAGTTTATTAAATAGTATGGTTAATACAGTGGCTTCACTTAGATCAGAAGATACATACAAAACATTTTGGTTTCTATTCGGCCTTGATTTTGAACAAGAGGGCACAGGCTACTTCTGTATTGTTGAGCTTATTTTTGTGTTGTTTCTAGCATCACAGAATAAACAGGGATTTTTCAGGATAAAGTAGCCAGGTTTAGGTAGAATTACAAGACTTTCATTGTGTCCTTCTTAAATGACAATGTTTTCGTTGCATCTCACCATTAAAAACGAACAAGATGTTTTGGTGTGTTTGTAAAATTCATCCTTCTAGCTTTTACTCCCAAGAAATATGTGCCTGATGACATCTAGTGACCATGGTCAGCCAATGCACTCAAAATATTGCCACGTGTGTGTTGGTGCAGAAAGTCATATTTTGTGAGGGTTTTTTTGTTTTGGTTTGGGTTTTGTGGTTTGATTTTGTTTGGTTTATTGGGGTTTTTGGTTATCCTTTGGATATAGAGCAACATTGTTCCAACAGAAAATATTTTAATTCTATGTCTAATGAATAAGTGCTTTTCCTTCATTTCTCATCTCCTTTCTAGATTAAAATACTTCAGGCTACAGGTTTGCCACAGCATCTCTCCAACTTTGTGTTCTGCAAATATACTTTCTGGGATCAACTGGAGCCAGTCAATGTTGCACCTGAGGTGGATCCTTCCTTGTCCTCTGTCAGCAAGGAGCCACGGTGCATGGTTGTCTTTGATCACTGCAATGTAAAGTATTTTTTTCTTTTTCTATTTTATTAATGAAATTGTAGGCAGTTTCACTCACATTGTAATATTTCATGAGGCTGATACCCTAATACCATTTTTAATAAGAACTTAAACATCTTCAGAGTCCATATAAGTTTGATTATTCTATATTGTTCACTTGTGTGGAAATCACAGAAGATGAAGTGGGTTAATAAAGGCAAGTAATCTGTTCAGCAGAGAGACTTATATTAGCTTACCCACAGTAAAGATGCAGCTGAGCATGAATCACTTTAGACTCTGATGTAGTGGAGAGAAATGTCCCAGTCCTGGGACATGATGCCTGTTATCCTAATGTAGTAGATTAAAGTAGTAAAAAGTTAAGTCACGTAGCTTAGAACAGACCATTTCTTCCCATTGACTTTGGAGCAACTGTCTGAGTGTAGGCATCTTTAACAGAGATAGATGAAGTCAGCTTAGATGAATCCCAGCCAAATTATCTGAGTTCTCCTCTCATTCTTTGTCATTTGTTATTACACTGAGCAATTTATTCAGCTTATAATTTCTTAATAAATACAATACCTTCTGATGAGTTTTGATTTTCTGACTGAATATTAGAAAATATGATTTTAATTTTTTTGGAACCATCAGATGATGACTTGGAACAGCGTGCGGTCATTTTTCAGCTCTTTATAGACTCGAATCTTCAGTAAATCATGTATCATTGCCTTACCTTCTGATTTTACAAATGAAGGTGACAGTTCTTTCTTTCCTTTATATTGTGGCTTGGAGACCAGGGTGACTTTACTCCATGCTTATATTAAAGTCAAGACAATAAATCTCTAAGCAAAAGTCATTGTGTAGTCACAGTCAACAACAATTTGTCACTTACAGGAAGTTTCTGTAAATATTTCCGAAGACTTCATGGAGCATCTTTATGATGGTGCTTTGGCAATAGAAGTATATGGGCACAAGCAGAGTGGTGACCGAAAAAATCCAGCCCTGTGGGATTTGGGAATAATTCAAGCCAAAACACGCAGCCTTCGTGACAGGTAAATATGGAAAATAGATCCTTGGCTTAGAATTTTCAGGAAAATCCCTGTCTCAGCTGCCCAGTTCTGAGGTAGGTTTGAGATAAGTAGTCAAATTTTGAACTGAAGTCAACTGAGCATGTTTTTGAGATTGTAGACTCTATTGGAAAACCACCATGCAATGTGTCAGTAGGCTTTGAAAAAGTGAAAGAGGAGAAATGCCCATCCCTATTTCAAATTAGTAGTAAAACTTGAAAGCCTTAGAAGCCCCTTTTATCTAGGCAAACTCAATCTGTGTTTTACAAAAGAGCAAGCTGATTATTTTCCTTTATATTGTTATGCTAGATTGCTCCAGAAAGAGCTATCAAGTCTAAAACAGCAAGAGGTTGTCCTGACTGTATGCTGATATGTTTATTCAAGGTCTGACTCCAATTCATTCTTGACCATGAAATGTCATCCCTGTAGTGCTGCCACTGGAAGAGCCATGTTGCTAATTACTTGAGTTGGAGTAAATATGCAACAGTATGGTAATTCAGACTGAAGGGGGCTGCTTGTTTGTTGTCCCCAAAGGAAGCTTAATAGTATTCTCTTAAATGCTTTCCTTAATTTGCCTCTCCAATTAGAAGGCTGCTCTGCACTTTAATTTATTGGCAATTATTTACCTTTTTACTTCCAGCCTGAACTTGTGTTGAGCACTCTGAACATTAAGCTATATGTAGGGAAATTTAAAAGAAAAGTCGGGAAAATATGGCAAAGAGGAGATGGAAAAAAGAGGCTATAAAACCATAGAATGGTTTGAGTGAGAAGAGACCTTAAAGATCATCCGGCTCCAACCCCCTGCCAGGGGCAGGGACACCTTCTACTAGACCAAGTTGCTCCAAACCCCATCCAACCTGGCCTTCAACACTGCCAGGGATGTGGGGCAGCCACAGCTTCTCTCTGTAACCTGTGCCAGTGTCTCACCACCCTCACAGGGAAGAACTTCTGCCTAAGATCTCATCTAAATCACCCCTCTGTCAGTTTAAAGCCATTCCCTCTTGTCCTGTCCCTACATGCTCTTGTCAAAAGACCCTCTCCAGCTTTCTTGTCAGCCCCTTTGGAGGCACTGTAAGGTACTCTGAGGTCTCCCTGGAGCTTTCCCTTCTCCAGGCTGAACAAGCCCAGCTCTCTCAGCCTGTCTCCATAGCAGAGGTGCTCCAGACCTCGCAGCATCTTTGTTGCTTTCTCTGGGCTTGCTCCAACAGGAGTTCCTGAAATTCAGGAGAGTGCCCTATATCTTGAAAGCTTGTGAGACAGCATCATATTTTATTACACTGTCTTCTGATAGGACTAACCATGCTGGGCTTCTGTGGCAGTAGCTGAGTTCAAAGCATAAATTTTAAAATGCATTGGAACTGGGGTTTGGATTGCAGAGGCTTACTTCTGATTTTTGACTGAAATAGTTGTTAGTAAAATTATAAGAACTGTACAGCTGGTAACCCAATCCTTGCCCATGTAAGGGGGGTTGGAACTAGATGATCTTTAAGGTCCTTTCCAGTTCAAACCATTCTATGATTATATACACTTAGAAATGGTGCATATATTGACTTGTTCCTTTGCTTCTTCAGTCTGTATTCTGAGCTAATCGGTTGTGCTGCTTCTTTCTCTGTGGAAAAAAAAAAAATAGAAAAATAGAAAGCATATTTGACATATTTTGCAGGTGGAGTGAAGTAACGCGAAAAGTAGAACTCTGGGTTCAAATTCTAGAGTTGAATGAGAATGGGGAATACTGCCCGGTTGAGGTGACTTCTGCCAGGGATGTGTGCACAGGAGGCATCTTCCAGCTCAGACAGGTAAGGAGGCAGATATATTTTGGCTGTGAAAAGAGCCTGCGGAAAGCCAAGAAGCTGCTATTTTGTATGGTTAAGGGATGGACACAAAATAAGTTATTGTGTAGAGCAGACAAAAAGTAGAAGAGAGTGGAGTCCCTCGGGGTTTTGTGAAACTGCCAGTGTGCATAAGCTCAGATTTAAAGGTGATCAATGCTTACAGGTAATCTTTTTGCTATGTTCTGTTCTGGGTAGCACCTGCTAGAACAGTCATCAGTCTCAACTGGACTTCATAATTTTTTGAAGAGGTTCAGAGTTCGCCTTTATTTGATCCTTCTGGCCAACCACTCTTTTGTTCTTTGAATTCTACATACATTAAATTGTTAATGCTTAACTGAGTAGTTAACATTTCAAAATGCCCATAGAACACAAGGAATTAGTAAAAGTCAGATACAAGCTGAACCTCCAAACTTCCCAACTCCTTTGATGATTTTTTTCCATCTTTTTTCCCCTGTGGGTTTTATAAAGACCAGTTACTTTGCTGCGCTGATAGCACTAGGGGTTAATAATTTTCAGTCAAGTTTACTAAAATTCCAGTAGCTCACAAAATTAGACTGTTTTTTTCTCCTCTTTTATAGGTGGGGAAGAGACCCACCTGCCTTTAGAAGTATTACAAATAAATTTCTATAAGTGTATGTTTTAAAAATCCTCCAGAAAAGTAAACTGGGAAGTTGCTGAATGCTGAACTTTTATTTTTCTGTAAATATATAAATCCTATGAAACAAATCCTTGCAACAGAAGGGTAACTCTTCAACACTGGGACACTGAGGTCGCAGGGCTTACCACTTTGTTCTTCACAAAATAAAAACATAATGGTACTTGCGAATAACTGCCACTAGAGGTCTCTCTGTCATTAAGCTTCTAGTATTTGTTATTCTCTTTTCCCGAGCATTTCCAATTGTTTTTTTCGGCAGGGGCAGTCTCGACGAATTCAAGTTGAAGTGAGATCTGTACAGGAATCCGGGACCTTGCCACTGATGGAGGAATCCATATTATCTGTTGGCATTGGCTGTGTTCAAATAAAACATGTCAAGTCACAAAAACTACCTGAAAGTTACCAGGTAAGAGTGAATACTTTCTGTCATCTGTGGCTATTTCCAAGACATGTAAAAGCATAAAGTGGTGTCCTGTGTGACAGCTGGAGGCAGCTCCATTAATTTTAAGATTTAGTTTGGTTTTGTTAGACTTTTTTTTTAAACCAACTTCTTAAACATATAAAGCAATATCAAGAAAAATTGGCAGAGTTACTTTGGCTGTGGTTTTTGTGATTAGTCAGGATAGTTTGAAACTAAACCTCTGTCTTTTTGAAAATGTTGTGGAAGATCTTTTCATTTTCCATAGTGAAATAGTGTTTGTAAGACTACATTCTGTGTCTTTTCTGGTTTTGGTATCTTTTTCCTGTCCTTAAAAGCAGCACAACCTTAACACACCATTCAAAAAAGAAAACATTGAAGCTTCTAAAATTCATTAGGAGTTTGTCCGGTAGGTTTTACTTCAAATATTAAATGTGGCAGCAATTTTATGTGCAACGTGTATTCAAACAGTGTTGAGCTACAGCTGTGAGAATTATATGAACCAGTTGTTGACCCACAGTAAATGTTGAGCAGTTTGACAACCCCAGAAGCGCTACATCTCATCTTAAGCTGCAGGTATATTTGATTTATTTTATTTCAGTTTCTAGTGCAGTTTGACTTCTTCCCCCAACAGCTGCATTAAAATCTAGTCACTGCTCGAAGTGAGCAAGCCAAAATCTGGTGCAATAGCACAAGCAAGTCTCCAGACTTGTTTGATTAGTTGCCCTGCTTGAGACAAGTCCAACTAAACACGAGGTAGTTTTGGGGACATCTTCCAGCTTTCCATAATGTTTACCCTGTTGACAGACCGTGATTCAGCCTGTGTCTGCTCCTGTCTTTTAGCTTAATCAGTATTGTTTTTCTCTTTGAGGTCTGAAGTAGTTAGTTTTTTTGTTGTTTCCTAACCTTAACAGCCCCTTGCCCCTTGCGTGTCAGGGGTACGAAAAGGGCAATTTTTTCCTCCTTTGCAGAAATCTCATGTTTCAGCAGCATCCTAGGCAGATTATTGCTTTCACTTCCCATTATGCTTCTGCTAGCAATTTTACCTTCAGGCTTTTGTAGCTGCCTTTCAATCATAGCAGTTTTTGATACCCATGTCCTATGAAACAAGTAAACTGTTGTTTCTGTTTTACTCCTGAATGAAGCAAGTTTTTTAAGAGACTTTTCTCTATCAAGAAAGAGTGAATGATTCTTGCAAATTTTATTTGAAAGCTATTACACACCTGCAACATACATATGCCTCCTTGAGCCTGTTTCAGAAGGTGACAAGTCCCAGGTGAACATCCGGTCTGTCTCACCCTGTTTCTTCCCCAGTGAATTCCTGATCTGTTGACCAGTTTCAACCGTATCTGACAGAGCTGGCAATCCACAAAATAGCACATTCTTTCAAGAAAGACTTAAACTCCGCTTGAGAAAGAGAGACTAGTGAGTTGTGTCTGACACTGATAACCCACATGGGAAAGGGCTTTGAAAACCATGTTTTATTAGTCCTCTATCTTACAATAACCTTCTGACTTGAGCACCTGGATATTTAGTCCCCTTATTAACATTTCTCTGTCTCAAGTAAATCAGTATCTATGGAATATGAAAGATTTTCTAAAGATCTTGAACTAAGAAAATGCTCTTCTATATGGCTTTTTCATTTTAGCTTAGCTAAGCTTTTGCTTTCATTATTATATACAGAAGTAGACTCCAGTGGCTTGTTATTGCTTAAATAGATCAGTAATAACTCCATGAGGACTGGAGCCCTCATTGCTTCTCCATCCACTGTGAAGGAGTGGCAGTTCTGCTTACTCTTACTGCAAGTGTCTCTGCTTGTGATAAATGTTGAGAATGAAAGGTGGTGTCTCCTATCAGAAAATAATGGAAATCCAAATGTCAAAAGTCTACATTGCAACTCCTGGTGTGACACACTTATTTAAACTCCCCAACAGTTGGCTTAGATGTTTACAACTTTTTCCCTGTAGATGCTACAGCAAGCTTACCTCAAATCCTTTATGCCAGACTGATTTTTCAGTAGTTGCTGTAATATTGATACTGAAGTCTTATACCAGCACATTTTTCTTTGCTGTGCAGGATCAACAGGTTTCAAGTTGTTTCACTAATACTCGTCTTTCTTTCTTAGGGCAATTCAAGTGTTACACTTGCTTCCAATTACAAAGATTTGTAGTAGCTATATCTCTCTGACATTTTTCCATTATAATTGTTGGATTGTTCTGGATGAGCTGATAGCAGTGAGTCTTTGGGATGTCGTGTTTTAATTCTGTGATCATACTATTGCTAAGCTCAGACTTTTATGTAAGACTTGCTAAAATAGTTACACCTTTTGCATTCAATGTGTATCCTGCTATAAAAAAAATTAATGGCATGGTTTTGTATGTTTTGGCCTAGGAAGAAGAGGATGAAATGGACAGTTATCAGGTAAAATTTTTGAATCCTTTTTGTTTTTACAAACTCATGCATTTCAGATTAAAACACTTCAGAGGAGGACCAGTATTTTGTCTTTGCTGTACTGGCTGGGTATGCAGAGAACCTGTCTACTGAAGACACTAGAAGCTTGAGAAGTGTGTAGATTGTTATGCTACAAAGCTGGGTGGTGGATTAGAGAGGTGGAAGAGAAAGAGCAAGAACCCTTAATGTGTATTTCCAAACCAAAATCCAATTACTTTTCACTTTTGGTGTTCTGTGGGAAGGCATCTTCATTCTTGACAAATTACGGTATTGAAAGCAGCCGTGCATAGATAGACTTGGGGGCATTGGTTGATGAGAAACTCAGCATGACCCACCAGTGTGCACTTGAGCCCAGAAACCAACTGTGTCCTGGGCTGCATTACTAGCAGTGTGATCAGCAGGTCAAGGGAGAGATTCTCCCATTATGCTCTGGTGAAGAACACTCCATGCAGTCCTGCATCCAGCTCTGGAGCCCCAATATAAGAAGGAGCTGTTTGAGTTAGTCCAAGGTTGGTTTGCCTGGAGAAGAAAGCTTCGGGGAAATCTTGGAGCAGCTTCCAGTGCCCAAAGGGGCTGACAGGAAAGCTGGAGAGGGGCTTTTGACAAGGACACATAGGGATAGGGCAAGGGAGAATGGCTTTAACCTGACAAAGGAGAGATTGAGATGAGATTTTAGGCAGAAGTTCTTCCCTGTGAGGGTGGTGAGGCCCTGGCCCAGGTTGCCCAGAGAAGCTGTGGCTGCCCCACCCCTGGCAGTGTTGAAGGCCAGGTTAGATGGGGCTGGTCAAGTGGAAGGTGTCCCTGCCAGTGGCAGTGGGATTGGAACTAGATGAGCTTTATGGTCCCTTCCAACCCAAACCATTCTATGATTCTATGAGATTGTCCTGATAGAGAACAAGAATAGGCATAGCAGTGTTGAATGTTGCAGTCAAATACTTTATGCTGTTTCATATTATGAATGTGCTATGTGTAAGACATCTGGAGTATACTGCATGGTCACCAACCCTTAGGCGAAGAAGGGGGATTCTGGTCCTGAAGCCCAAAGACAGAGGGAAACATCACACTATTTTTTTCTATATAATGTCACAGTAACATGAGTCTTAAAGGGGAGCTGATGAGATACAATATCTGTGATACCTTTCTCATCTTCTTGTGAATAACTTTACAAAAGCACATCATTGTTGTTATAGATCTCAACTTTGTATAATGAGAGCAACCAGATATTTAATGCTTTCTGATAGATTCTGGCATACTTTAGGGGTCTGCAGCTGAGTAATACAACTGTAGTTTATAGTCTTTCATCCACCCAGTTTTCATGACAAAGTATGTGTTATACTTTGATGTGGAATGCATCTGAACAGCTGTAAAAGAGGCTTGCCTGAAGGCATCCTGGAGCTGATAGCTCATCTTTGTGGCACCCAACGTACTGCATGTAGAGTATCATTCATCATTTCTGAGCATTTCTACACAAGAGACAAATGAACTGAGTGTTCTTAAGGATACCGGGTGGGGTTTTTTTTGAAGGACATGAGCACTTCAGAAGAAATATTTTTAAAAGGCCTAGTTGCAAATGCCAGAACTAGAGACAGTCATGTGATGCAGGGCAGGGATGGATTGCTAAAATGAGGCTGCTAAACACTGAGTGGGAACACTGAGTGATGGATAAGGACTGGTGTTTCCAGCTTTGCCACAAGGTAGTAGTTAGTGAGTTTTAGACTAGTTTGGGGGCAAAGATGTATAAAATGCAGTTTGTTCAGCTGGGAAATACAGAATAACAGCTAGAGAAGGATGCCTCAAGCTGGCAAACAAAACTAATTCAAATAAGATGTGGAAAGTTAGGGATTTGGACCTGTGAAGGAAGGCTAAGAGAACTGGGGTTGTTTAGCCTTGAGAAGAAGAAAAGACTCAGATGGGATCTTGTCAATGTGTGTGAATGAGAAAAGGGGTAAAGAGGACAGATCCAACCTCTTATCAGTGGTATCCAGTTAATGGAAAAGAGGCAGTGAGTTTGCACTTCACATAAGAAGTTACTTGGAGAGGTTGTGGAGATTCCATCTGTGTTGATATTCAGATTTCAACTGGACATAGCCCTGAGCAAGCTGCTGTGGTTGACCCTGCTTTGGGCACAGAGCAGGGCTGGGCTAGACAATCTCCAGAGAGGTCCCTTCCAACCTCAGTTGTTCTATGTTTCTGTTTAAGTTGTCCTGTGCAAAAGAAAATAGAGAAGAGCTAAGTGATTTGTTGGAGGTCTGCTCTGTGTCTTATTTTCTTCTTGGGTACAGGATGAGCAGAAGTGTTGAGGAAATGTGTAAGCCACAAATAGGAAACCTTGGCTTTCTCGGGCCAATACTTATCATGACTACTTTCCTCTTTACAGGATAGGGATTTGGAGAGGCTCCGTCGGAAATGGCTGTGTGCTTTAACAAAGCGGCAAGAGTATCTTGATCAGCAACTGCAAAAACTGGTTGGGAAGCCTGGTAAGCAAAATACAAAATACAAAGGTAACAATAGTGATATGTTGAGGCATGCTCACTTAATTTTTTTATCTTAATGTATTGCAAAATTTATAAAATAAGTTAATGGAGAGTTGAATCTCTGAACTCACCAGTAATTTACTTTCAGTGAAACTAAAGTTAGAGAAGCCTATATAAAATTGTTCTTGTATACTGTGTATTTCTTCTTTGTGTGCTGAATATCTTAGCGGAGTGAGGTTTTATTCTGTTATAGCTGGTGTAAGATCACTGAGACATGATAAGGCACCGAATAAGAAATGCTCTCTATTGTCCTGCCTAACATCCTGCTTCTTCAGATAAAACAGAAGATGATGCGGATCGGGAGGCACAGCTTTTAGAGATGAGACTAACACTCACTGAAGAAAGGAATGCTGTAATGGTTCCTTCTGCTGGCAGTGGGATTCCTGGAGCTCCAGCAGAGTGGTATGAACATACATTGCCATATGCAAGAATGAATGTAAAAATGATGCATGGCCTGTTCCTGTCTTGGATCATTGCCATTTTTTGCTTTCCTTAATCTGGCCTCTGTGCACCATATGAGCAAAGTTGTTAAAATTAGGCCTCTTGCTTCAATTATTTTATTAGGCTGTCTATCTGAAATTCAGAAATGGTATTTAGTAAACGATACTATTATTGATCAGAGTGTAATTCTGACCTTCTGAAAAAACAGGATCAATATTTATTACCATTGCACGTACCATTTTAAAAAATTAGCTAATATGTTAATTACCTAGTTCATTCGCTTAAAAGGCTGCTCTGTCATAATAATACTGCATCTACAGGAGCATTTTGTTGCACTCCTGGTTTGAGCACAGTCTGTTTAGTCAGCAAGTGTTCCATGTAATTTTCTAAACATTAAAAATAGTAAGCTACACTATACTTGAGACTGCTGTACTGTAGCAGCTGTGAATAACAACTGTAGATAAGGAGGCAAAGTTGTTTCACTTCAAATCTTTTGTCTTCAGTTGCTTTCAACTTCGTGAAAAAATTTTCTGAGCAAACATCTAACAGTATTTATTGATGGAATTGAGTGTCATGGAGTTTCAAGCTAAAGTTTGTTGAAGCTAGCAATTCTGAAACATAAAAATGACAAATGCTTGCTGGAAACACATCAGCCTTCACATCAAAGTGTTGGACTAGGCTGAAAAATAGTGGAGCTGCAGGAAACTTCCTTGAGGAAGAATTAGTTTTGAACACTTTCAGACCAGAGGAAATGTTTAGTGTTATTTTAGCACCATATATATTACAGAAGACTCCTGCTCTTGTTCACCATAAAGTTCGTCAAGTCCAAGTTTGTCTTGAGATGGCTACAGCCTTTTTTCACAGCTAAGATTGCCACAAGGAATCTTAAAGCCTTCCGTGCTCCGTGTTACATTTTTATTTCCTTATTAATGTTGTGTAGCTTAAAGTGCTTAGCCAAGGACTATTTTGTTTTAAAAACAAACAGAACACCACCTATGTTACCCCTTCTTCCATGAAAGATACCTTAAATAGCAGCTTTGACTCTCAAATATGTGTGGTTTGTAAGAAAGAGTAATAACTGTGTAGTGTAGCAGCATCAATGTTAGTTTAAAAACTTTGACGCTGGATGCTGTGATTTTCACTCTGCTGTCTTCACTGCCATTACTAATGCAGAGGGGGTTGCATTTAATAAATGTATGTGTCAGAGTAAATAAACTTAATTTTGCTATTAGCATTTTAGAGGGAGAAAACCTCTCTGAAAGCAGAGGTCAAAGAATATAGTAATTCTGAGACAGCTAGGATAAAAGAAATACCAATTTAGTTGAGTCTCTTGGAATCTGTAAATTAAAGTAAAACTGTTTGCCAATGTTATCAATAGTCTGGCTTAAAATGGCAGTTGTTCTGAACGTAATGTACTTGGGGCTTGTATCATAAGGTACATGTGCTGGGTAAATCTGTGTTAGTTTAAATGCTACCATTGTCCCTGTCTTCCGTCTTAGGACTCCAGTGCCTGGTATGGAAACTCACATTCCTGTTATTTTCCTTGACTTGAATGGTAAGTGGTTCTTAAAATGACAGGGTGCTTTGAAACAAACTTTATACAGCCAGAGGCATTATAGAATTTAACCATGCTAATAAAATGAAGGCATGCCTGGAATGGCAGGTGGATTAATTTGGGAGTGCATGTTTTTCACTAAAACATTGTTTAATGTTCAAAATAGCATTATATATGGGAGGACCATAGATTTTCATAATTACAATGTTTTTCATATTTGAAATAGAAATAGTAAAATGAGTACATCTAAGGGAGTGTACGGCAATAGCAGTGTAAACTAAAAATTATTGTTGGGAATGTTCTTTCTGAGTTCTCAGAAGGATATAGCACTGATGCTATATCCTGTAATTTCTTTACTGATGACTCAGAAGAAAACGTGAAGTCACTGATAATAAGATCTAAATATCAAAAAAATGTGGCATGGTTAGCTCAAATTAGTTTACAGAGAGTGATCGTGTGTTTCTTTCAAACAATGTATGGTCCAATCATCCAAATACAAGATCCGGTTCAAACAAAGTATTTAGCAGATATTTCTATCAAAGATGGGAAATTGTAGCCAAGAAAGCAGCAACCCCAGCGTAATCCAGGGAGCCAGCAATGCCTCATCAGCTGAACAAATTCTTAAGATGTTTTAAAGGGGGTTAACATGTGTTAGAAGCATCAGGTGAGAGTGGGGAGGTGGCCTTCTGCCTGTTATGAGGAGGTCTTTGCTGCAATGCTGTTTACATTTATGGTTTGCTCATCTAACAAAGCACGTCGGTATATGAAATGGCTTCAGAGAGGAGCTAGTTAATCATTCATGGTGAGGGACTTGAGCCAGAAGAGGTTGAGCTGCTTCTCAGAAACCAGATGAAGGGTTTGTTTAATCATGATCTGTAATTTTACTTGTGTAACCATCAGCTTATCTTTATTTAAAAAGAAAACCCCACACCACCTAAGTGATGCCAGATGAGCAACATACTTGGTATGATTGAGCTGCAGCGCTGAAAACACACCTGTGGGCAAGGAGGGGATGTTTACAGCTGAGGGAGAGTCCCACAGAAAGAGGACTTTATAAAGCACACTTGAGTCTGTGTTCCCAAATCTGTGTGCACACTTTCTCTATTGAAATGGGATTCTTTTTGAAGTGGAACAATGCAAGAGATTTGCTTTTGTAGATAGAGTATAAGTAGCCAAGCTGGGGAGTTACTGATGAAAACGTGAATTCATGACTTGCTGGATATTTTTAAAAAGGACAATTGCTTTGTGTCTCCTCACCTTCTGCACTCACTTCTGTTTCTAGCTGATGACTTCAGTTCCCAAGACAACCTTGATGACCCAGAAGCAGGTGGGTGGGATGCTACACTTGTTGCAGAAGAGGAGGAGGAATTCTTTGAACTGCAGATTGTGAAGCATCATGATAGTGAGGTAAGCAGAGATGCAGGCCAGTATATTTAGTTTAGAAGTCTGTTAATTGTTCTCTTTTTATATTCAAATGTGTAAATAGCGCATCGAAGACTGCATACAAAGTACAGAATACTTGTTTCTAACATAACTGAATTCAAGTTTTCCAGAAGTATTCACTAGGATTATAACCATGATTTGAAAAATAATAAAACTCAAGGATCTTCCTTCATCCAAATCCAAGCATTACAAAAGCTTCAGATTCTGAGTTTGTGTTTAAAAACCAAAACCAGCTCCCTTAGCAAATTAGAAAATGGAATCCCCCAGGTGAAAAACTAAACAGTCTTACCTGTTGTTACAGTTAACATTCACCTGTTCATTGTTCCATTCGTTATACAACATTTTGCCTCTGAGTTTTACAACTTTCCAATTGTCGGTTCGTGATTTTTGCTCTTAGGCTTAGAATCTCTGATGTTATTTTTTTTATTCCTTACAATTTTGCTCCTTACTCTGAGATTTATTGCTCTTTTATATTTTAGAGGAGCTTTATTTCTGATGGGTTTTATGGGTTTGGGGTTTTTTGTTTTGATTTGTTTTCAAAGCCTGGAAAAATGGCTACCAGACTGTTTTTCTTATGGATTGAATATAAACAGTTTAAATTTTCAGTAATACTTAACATTCAAGAAGAGAAATTCCAAGTTTTGCTGTATTGCTAGAAGTGTTTCTGCAACATTATTTCTCAAATGCAGACGAGAGTTTATGTGGTGTGATGGAAGATTTTCACTGCAATCTCTGTTGCTCTCTGGCTTGTGTTAATAAATTAGGCCAAATGGTCCTGTAGTTCTGCATATTTTACAGTTTATTTGCAAGGATCCTGGGTGTTCAAAAATCTTTTTTTCAAGAGGAAATGTTCCAGAGTTTGAGCAAGTTGGCATTTTCAATCCCAGCGTCTTCATTTGGCAAACTAATCTTGATTTTTAAATGGCCTCTTCTGAAGTGCAGGGATTTTTCTTCATAGGGAGTGAAATGGAGAAGCTCACTCTCAAAATTTATGTATTATGTATTTTTGTTAATTATGCTTAATTAATTACAGTTAATTATACACCTAATTATGCTTATTAGAGGATACATTTTTTTCCTTTGCAGGTGAAAGCAGAAGCCTCATGGGATTCCACAGTCCACGACTGTATCCAGCTCAGTAAAGGAACAGCAGCAGATGAAAGAGTTTACCTTATTGTGAGAGCCACTGTCCAGCTCAGCCATCCTGCAGAAATGCAATTAGTGTTACGCAAGCGCATTTGTGTCAATGTGTATGGCAGACAGGTATGTCTTCTATAGTCCTTCATGCTTTTCATTCTGCCCCATGGTTATCACTGCTTGAAGACGGGAAAGCTGTGATCTGTGCAATATGCTGCTGCTTGCCTTATTTTCCTGTATCTACCTTCATCTCTGTCTGCATGGAAGCACCTTATCAGTCTCATGTGTCGAGACTTTCAGCTGCCAAGTAATTTTCATAGTATCTTTTATACTGTGGATGATAATGCAGCCTTTTCTTAAAGGCTCAGTGGGACATGGGTATGAGAGACTCAGTGTTATTTGTATTAATTACTAAGGGCTTTATTCCAAATCACTGGAAAGAGTTAACTTCTCATGAGCTTGCAATTCAGGTTTTGGAGAAACTGTGCATCACAAGAAATCTATATGTTTCCCTGCTCCTATAGTATGTTCACACATTACTGCTGACCATTTCTATCTATCCAGATATTTAGAGAGAAACTAACAGTAGTTGGAGCAGAGATTCCTTTGTGTAATTTGCCAAAGTCAATCACTCTGTCTCTTATGTTTTCCAATTGGCTTGTGCTCTTAAAATAATGTGTAGGTAAGAGCATGATATTTGATAAATGGAAAGCAGAAAGTTGTCATTCTATTTGCAGCATCTTGTCCTGAAAAATATTTCATTCTTGAAAAGGATGGTGGTGAAGAGTTTGTTCAGTGTTGTCTCAGAATCCAGCTTCCCCTAGCAGTGATAATAACAAAGCAGAAAGCCTAAATTATAATTCTGTTTGCACATCTGTAGTTAAAATCTGAAGCAAGAGCAGAAGAGGTGTGGTCACACCCTGAAACCCTGTTAGCAACTCTAAATTGCCTTTAGTGCTAGGAACAGAAGAACTTGGTGCTTCAAGCAGGCAAAAGCTTTTTCTCGGAAAGAGACCAGTGAATTTTTTTGTCATATAGAATGAAAGAGTATATTCAATAGAGAAATTGAGCATGCCAGTAATTACGATTGTGTTAAGTCTTCATCAGTTCTGTTTGCTATGGATTTTAGTCAGTGATGTGTTTTACTTTTATTCAACACAGAATCTTTGGCTTTCTTGCTAGATTTCTAAAAATCCTCGTCAATAACCTTTCCTGGGTGTTTGTCTCAGCAGCATCTCTGAATGACTCATCTCTGCATTAATTCAACAGTCCAGTTCTTAACCCTGCAAGGCGCCAAGTCAGCATAAACAATGACCACGCTGCCTTAAATCATTCTTCATAACGATCTCTTTGGTCAAGAATTTAAAGTCTGTACTTGTCAATATTCAAGACAAGTCACCTAGGGCTCTATAAAAAAAAAAAACAACACACCACTTCTAGAGCTAACAAATGCTTTGTATGCTGGTTAAACGGTCACCTTGCAATGAAGAAAGTTAATCCTTTCTCTGTATCTGAAATACAGACAAGCAAATGATTTGTCTCCAAGTTAAAAATCTTTGACTCTTACATATTTATTGAGTTTGCGCTTCTTTCATTATGAAGTATATTTATTTCATTTTAAATATGTTAAACCATATTCTCCTTAAAGAAATATTTTCCTTTTTTTATTTTTGCCTCTCCATAGGGTTTTGCACAAAGTTTCCTCCGAAGAATGTCTCACCGAAGTTCCATTCCTGGCTGCGGTGTCACTTTTGAGATAGTCTCAAATATTCCAGAGGTGAATAAGAAATCAGCATAGCTGAAATTGGCTAAGAGCCTCTAAATTTCTGATTTTCCCCTTATTTTGAGCATGCTAGCTCTTGCTGCTGCAAGCATGAACTCTGGTTCTTATAAAAGATTAAGCATATTCCTTTACATGCTGTGACTTAGCAGCAACCTGTGTCTTGTCAGTGTCGCTATGTATTTTGTTAGGTGAGCATCTGTTTACTGAGGTCCTTGAGGAAAGAGAGGGAAAAAGTGGGAGTAAAGATGAGCAGGTGAAGTGCGTGATGCAGGGAGCATGAGAATATGTAAAAAATAACAAAGTGGCTTTTTCGAAGTAATGTCTTTATGCAACTCTTGATTCCTGAGCATGTTCATAGATAGAATCTAATCCTTTCCTTCCAAACAGATGCTCTATCGGAGCACTTGTGAAAACATTAACACATAAAGAGCCAAAAAGGCTGGTTGATGCCTGACTGTGCCTTTTATGTTCTGCTGTATTTAGCACGCAGTGTTGAAATGTTTTTCAAGCAAAGTTCTATTTTTTTTTTTCTTTCAAGTCACTTGAAATTTTGTTTTTCTCACAGGATAGGTAACACTACAAATGTGTTTGAGCACTTTTTAATTATGAAATTTTTCCCTGTGAGGGTGGTGAGGGCCCTGGCACAGGTTGCCCAGGGAAGCTGTGGCTGCCCCATCCCTGGCAGAGTTCAGGGCCAGGTTGGATGGGGCTTTGAGCAACCTGCTCTAGTGGGAGGGGTCCCTACACGTGGCAGGGGGTTGAAATTAGATGAGCTATAAGGTCCCTTCTAACCCAAACCCTGCTATGATTCTATGAAATATCTGAATGCAGCCCTTTTGCTAATCAATGGCAATGTCTCACTGTGAGAATTCCCCTCCCATCCCTTAAAAAAAAAAAAACACAAACAAAAAACACCATAAAAAAACAAAACCAACAGAAAAACAATAACCACATCTAGCTTGAGGTGTCGTTACTGTGGTAGGAGCACCCACACAGCACAAAACATCTGAACCTGCCCCTTATATTAAGGGCGAGCAATGTTGAATGTGCTGTGTGTTTTAAAAATTAATTTTCTTCAGGACTGATTTGGGATGGTTTTATTATATTTTAAAAGAATGTCATATCTTTCATCTTCCTAGGATGCTCAAGGAGCTGAAGAGCGCGAGGCACTAGCCAGAATGGCAGCAAACGTTGAAGATGCAGCTTCAGCTGACTCTGAAGCCTACATTGAGAAGTACTTGAGGAGTGTGCTGTCTGTGGAGAACATTCTCACCTTGGATCGTCTGCGCCAGGTCTGTTTTTAAGGCTGAAGCAGACAGCAGAGAACATGCTTACTGAGAACAATAGCAATACAAATGTTCTAAGTGCATGCAATGGCTAACAAACCAAAAACACCACTTCAGTGCCTACCTCCACCTTACAAAGTGTGCATGTGGCAAACATCTAAGGATGCAAATGTAGCTTTCTATAAAGAGATGCTCTCACTCAACTACCTATAATACGGATGGATGGGACTGGGATCTTTATGTTAAATGCACTGTTATGGGATGCTTGGTTTGATTTTAAGACTGTGCATTGCTAATTATGGTTCAGAAATGTAGTTATGTGGGGTTAGCTTTTGCTTTCTGAAGCCTGGTGTTTAATAATAGTTTCCAAATTTGCTAGAAGAGCTCTTGTAATTTTGCCCATGTTCTACCTTGAAGTAATCACACCCATTCTGTCAATAAATAAGACATCGATTGATTTAAGATTTAAGTACCGTAACTGGATCTGTTTACCAGGAAAAGTGCAGAAGAGAAAAAACATTTATTGAGAGTTGTTCTGGATATAAATTATGCGAGCACAAAAGGAAGTTATGCAAAACAAACTGGAGTATGTGCCTGCCCACTATAAATTTATGGTGAAGTGTGTTGCACTCTAAGTATTGAAAGCAAGTTCTCTGTCATATATAATTAGTTTAAAGGATTAAAATAAGAGGTCAGCCAGGAAAGAGAGTCTTAGTCTTTACATCTGTAACAGTCATTTCCTAGAATCAGAGCTAGCTGCAAAATCCTATGTGGGCCAATCAGCAAAATATTACATGTTACAGTTTATCTACTCTTACACTTCTAGCCATGTTGGTTGCAAGTTGTAGGTTACAGTAGACTTTCCAGACAGGAGCCTGGGCAATAAGGCTGTTCAGAAACATTTTTCTTGTATAGACAAAACTATTCTGGGGTGATTGGAGCTTAGATTCTTGCAAGGCATGCATATTTTCTTTGTTTTTTTTTCTCTCTGATTGACAGGAAGTTGCTGTAAAGGAGCAGCTAATGGGAAAAGGGAAACTCTACCGCAGGAGCCTGAGCTCTCCCAATGTGAATCGAGTGAGTATTCCATGCTGGTATCTACAGCATACTGAGGGCAGCAGGTCCAGTCTTTCAATTACAGGTCTCTATGATGCCAGTCATGGAGTATGGCAATAAATTTCCTTCTGTTTGACCCTTCTGTTTGTCTGTGCTATTTGTGAGCATGTAAATCGCTAAATGGAGGCAAAATCTGCACATATTCATGCTTTCATCATACAGGCTAGTATGCTTGAAAGCATCCCTGTAAATCCAGACTATTTGAAAAAGCAGTGCTTTTTTTTTTTTTTCTGAACACTGGATTTTTTTTCATTTTGCTACCAACTTGAAAATGTTTTTTTTCTTCACAAGATTTGAAAGCAAGTTACAAGTATTTATTGATCTTAAACTTTGTAACAGTGTTGTGCATAAGAAGGGTGAGACTTCTGTTGTTCAAAATTTAGGAAGAAATCCTTTGATAGAACTGGTAATCAAACTTGTAAAATTCTTGCACCTTCCAGGTCAATAACTGGGATTTCACCTTCATCTCTTGGATTTCAGTTCTGCTTTAACTGCAAAACTATTTCTTTTCACCCTTCCTTGTGTTTGTCAAGAGGCATATTTATCAGTTGTTTAAGTTTCTGATAAGAAATAATTCTGCTTGTCTAAATTATTTCAGCTTTCTGGAAGCCGCCAAGATTTAGCACCTCCTTATAACCTGAGCAGTAACCGGGTAAGTATCCAAAGGTCGCCTGGCAAGTCTTCTGTAGAAAAAGGTAGCTACAGTAACTACAGTGTACCAGTTACAGGGGCATAAGTGGGAAACATCTGTAAAAGATGGGGCACACCCATGTGCTCTTTGTATCCTTGTGACTAGGACATAACTAGTTTTGCATGTGTTACACTAGGACTTCTCTGAGAAAGTTCCCAGACCTCCATCAGTCATACAGCAGTGCTGCCAGCCACTGTGGGATGTAAAATGGCAGACCTGCAGTTGAGCAGAGGAGATTAGATGTAGTTATCCATCACTCAGGAGTGCATTTCTCAAGGGATATCTTCCCATTGTCAAGCTTCAGAGCTCTTCCAAAGCTTGGTAGATGCAAACCTTCTGGGTAAGGAACAAATTTGGGTTCATATGTAAGGTTAGGCCTACTGTAGTACAGAACAGAGGTTTATGAGGAGAGTCTCTGACCTTCAGAGGAAAACCAACAGTCTGAAGCTTTTAGTGGGTTATAATTCAGCCCATTACACTTCTTAAAAACAATGGTATAGATCAAAAGTATTTCTTTAAAAGCTGAAAGATTAAATTTAAATTTATTTTCCAAATCCTAGATAAACTGAAGTGTCTTCTGATAGATATTCTGCCCAGCAAGCGTGTAGTCATTTTAAAAGGGAGAAGCTAGTGGTGAAGGCGTTTTAATGCATAATGCAGTTGCACAGAATAATAGAATTTTGATGTAGTGCTCTAGCATTGGTTGCTAAATCTGCTACATCTGATCCATGTAGAGAATGCTAAAATACGTGCAGGTGATAAAGTGCTTATAGCAACTTCTATTTGGAGAGGACTGTGTGATGTTTCAATATTGTAGAGTTTTAATGCAAAAAATAAAGATCAGAGTTCTTAATGATTTTTGGTTTTTCTCCTCCCTTCCTCTCAATGGTTTCCCTCATTGCATGTTTCAGAGTCCAAAGGTCCCAGCGGAGGTAATGCATTAGGTCTACCTAATGAGTGGGATAATAATTTTATCTCACTAGAAAGTTTATTTTGCTCACTTACATGCTTTTACTTCCTGCTTTGAAGATGCTGCTGGTGGTGTCTCATTTGCATAGTACGCAGCAAATGAGTTTTACTATTGAAAAGCCTGTCATTAATGCAGTATGAAACTGGTACAAGCAAGAGAAGTTTCTCCTTTTTGGGTGCATCTTATGGTTTGTTACAGAGCTATAGCTATTTAAGGCCTTTTCTCACAGTTCTTTGGACTGGATGAAGTTATGTAAGAAATGGCCCCATCTCATCTAAGAAAACCCAGACACATGAAAGCAAGTGAATAGATGTCAGTCATGTGTACATTGGCCTAGAGACGAGATAAATGTTGAGAGTTTCTTCCAAATCTTTCTCTCTTTATGGCTTCTGATAGTTCAGTGTTAACAGCCCTTGATTCCTATGAAAAAATGATTTGATATTAATACTGGGCCAATGGAAAACATGTTTATGTTTGGTATCATGTTAACAGTCTCGGAGGAATGACTATGCATCTCCTTAGCTGAACCAAGCTTTGCTTAACCAGAGTTAATTGACAGGTTTGCATGGGGTTTTGCAGCTTCTCTGTGATGGATGTAGCTGCTGACAAACACAAGCAGTTCTGCGACATGGAGCTGAGGTTGCTAGCTTACCCCTTGCTTTGCAGCATGCTTCATCTCAAGGCACTTGTTACTCAGGACGTGGGAGGTGCAAACTCCCCTTTTGGAAATTTCTCATTTCAAATGGATCTTGGGTTCAGTTTCCACAGGGAGATGAATGAAAGCTTTTGTAATCACAATGAAACGTTAAACAAATTCTTAAGTTTTCCTATAGCACACAGAGACCACAAAGCACAATGGTGATATCAGTCTATCTATTTTAGCATAAAGGATCTGAGCATAGCTTGATATGTGGGGTTTTGTCCAAGTTAGATGTCTTTGTCACTTGCAGAGAACTTTAGCAAAAAAGAAGTCCTCTCCAGCAGCCATAAATCATTATTTTACAGGAATTTGGTTTTGTTTACAAATGCCTATAATCTCAAACAAGTGGTTTATTATATCATGAGAAACATCAGTCACAGGAGAGTAACAGCATCCTGAATTGGGTGCAGAACTAATCTGTCAAGCCTGCATGCTTTAATATTTGTGAAACCCTTGACACATTTCAGACTATTCTTCTTAACATTTATTCCATTGCTTCACACGTCTCTTTGATTTTAACATTGGTCCTTACATTCCTGCTGTCTTTACCATGGATTTTCAGCTTGTGGAAAAGGCATTTGAGTCTCATTCGTCTGTGTACAGTACCATTCATACTGGTAACATTATGAATGTGAATGCTGTCATTCTTCATCACTATGAATAGCCAGGACTACCTCCCCTGTAAACAAGAATATTAAACAGGTCAGAATAAGAAGTAAAGATGGTGTTAGTGCAACTAAAACAGGCAGATCAGAAGTTTCCAGAGTTAGGGCCGAGATTCATCTTGCAGCCATAGTTGAACCTGTTGCTAAAAGTATGGATTGGTGGTTATGCCCCCATGAAGAGCTAGAAAAAAATTCTGCTCTACTGAAGTAGAGGTCTGGGTTTGACACATTCTGAAAAGAACTTAGTATCTCTGAGTACTGACAGTACAGCAGGATGACTCTCAGACTGAGATATGTATTCATTTGAGATATTTAAGTCACCACTGGGATCTTTTTCATAACAACTCATAAGATTAAGCTATCTAACTGGCTGAAAAGGCAAGGAGATGCCTTCTAAATTTACTTCAGAAGACAGTCTTACGGATGTTTCATATTAAGTTAACAGGACTGCATTTGGTCTCACCTCTAAGGCATATCTGCTTGCTTAAATGAGAAAAAGTCAATTTTTACTGCTGTTACCACCACAGATATGGTTATGGGAGAGAGACATGAATTTTGTTTAATCTTGCACATTAGCACGTGTCAGGTGATGCAGGACTGTGGTCTCTTACTGGTCATACTAGATACAGACCTGGATTTTTATGTTCCTGGGTGCTTGCATTGGAAGCTTAAAAATTCACTTGACTTGAAGTGGATGAATCAGATGCACAAAGTATGGAAGGCACCTCTGACTTATTTTACAGGCTTTCAGACTATAATCACGTACTGATGAGATATTTCATGAGTTGTTCTTAAACAAAAGAGTTTTGAAGTGTCAAAGACAGTTCTGTCTTTGGCAGTCATCCTTCCTTTCACAAAGGTCCAGTGGTTTGTAGCTCGAGAGCAATGTACAACAAAGCCAAGGCAGACATGATCGGTCCACTTAATCTTTGGGTTTTACTAGGAATCAGAGGGTTTTTTTCAGTAAATTGGTACCATGTAGATCTATTTGAATAATCTTGCTGTTCACGAGAACAAGTGCCTTTTGTCTCAGCTGTATGCTTATATTTATAAATGCTACATGGTCACCTTTTCCTAAGCCTTTTCTGAACTGCTAAAATAATAAAACACAAGAAGTATTAATTTTTCTTACCTAGTGGCTGCATTTTATTGGTCTGTCAACTTCAAGGAAAGAATTGTTGTCAGGTAAAGCCTGCAGATCAATTAGGTAGTGATCACCCCTATTTGCTGTAAAGATTTCGTGCATGTTATTGCTGACCTGAAACAAATTTCCTGGTGTTTTTCATGGATGATATGTGAAAGAAAGGAAGGCAGAGGAGAAGTAGGAGAAGGTATTCTAGAAATAAACCACTTTATAGACAGCTATGTATCAAAATCCAGCAAGGGACATGCATTCTTCTGGTGGATATTTTTGATTTGTTAAGTCACTTGACCTCTCTTTGGTCACTTGGCAGAGACCAAATATATTCATGAAATGACGGCTTCTGTGCACAAATGATTTACAAGCTTCTTTGCTTTCTCTCACCACCCTTCTTGAGACAAAAAACAGTTACAGCACTTAAATAATACCGATTGCTTAGACTTAAGTGTTTCAGTTAGTGAATGCACAAAACAATCATGTGAGAGTGCTATATAACCTGAAGATGTGAGACTTGGGAACTTCATCAAGGTAATATAGTTAATAATTCTTACATTTTTTTTCTTTTTCCGGGATTGAGATAGGTTATCTTTCAATCCAGCTTAGTAAAATCAATCATTCATGAACTGCCTTTTGCCTCTACAGAATCTTCACACAACAGTTGACCCTTTCAATTGCCTCCACTATTTTCTTTTGCAAATGTTTCTCCAGCTGTTGCCCTGATTTACCTACTTTTTAATGGTTTGCTCTCATCTCAGACTTGAGGCTTATTTCAGTCCTTAGAAACCTTCTAAAGTGATGATCTTTCCACTCTCTCCAAAACAAACATTATTTAAAAGCACAACATGCCTTAAGTATATGGCCAGACAAATCCTTTTCTCAAGCTCACATTCCTGTTTTAGGGACCTTATTTTATTTGTCCTGGCAAAAATAGTTAAAATTAGGTAGAATATGTACGCATCCATAATTTCAAGGCTGAAACAAAATTTCCTAAAGATCTTTCCTAAAGATCCTTGGGGGAAAAAAGGCTCTTCCTTAGGAAAATGTCACTAAACATTGCCATTCTTTCTTTACAAGATGAATATTCTGAAAGTATTTTGCTCCATTTCTTACCTACTCCAGATTTTTTCAGCATTCTTCAAACAGGTCTAGAAAGTCAAGGTACTTGCCTGAGATTATTTTTGTTGGAGCAGTCAAAAAAGGGCACTTAAGACTCAGAAAAAGTTGATAAAGAAAATGATTTAGCTTCTCCTTACCTGCATTGAGTCAGTGTTCTAGTAAGCTAGAAAACTTTCTGATAGTAATCTTTCTGTTTCTTATGTCTCTGTGGTTTCCAGAAGCACTTAAACTTGGCCTACAGATGAGAATTACAAAGGTGTATCACCTTTATCCATTTGTCTTTACTAAGTGAATCATTACCCTAAGATCCAAAAGTAACACTAATCAAGCTCTGTTATGTCCTCCAAAAGAGAACTCTTCAGATGCTTTGCATTCTCCCATAGTTTTTGTTCTTAACCTAATGCCACCATCTCCCAGGCCGATGGCAAACCCAACTAGAAGGCAACAAAACAGAACAGTATTTCAAGTGTTCAAGTCTTGTGATGACTTCCCACCAAATAGTTTTAATTTTTATTTTTTTTATTTTTAACTCCTGAAGCACCAGTGAACTGATGCCTCCAAAAATACTGAATTACACTGGCATATTTTCCTAACTGGATAGACTATGAACTTTTCTCATGTTTTGACTCTTCCCCTGCAAACTAATCTGTCAGTGGGATCCAGAGAAGGAGACTTCAGGAAATATTTCACATCCTGAAGGGGAAGACAGTTTGAGCATAGTCTGAAGATGTTGGCTGTTTCCATGCTGGCTCTCAGTGTCTGCTGCAGTGTGTGAAATCATCCAGATAGCAGGATAAGAAAGCAGACTCTGAAGCAGTATTTGGAATGGATATAAGTGGGGAAAGACTGCATGTGGTAAGGCCACCCTAAAGAGACCTGAACCAGCTGAAACACAAGATGGCAAAAGCCCAAGTAAGAGTTTCTGGGAAGTGGAATAGGAAAAACTATTTCATAGAAGCATTTTGTAGAAAGAATTTTCCAGACATAGGCATGACTTTTTGATGTATGTAAGACATACATGATTTGCAGGTCAAAGATAATGTTCAAGTTGAGGCTTAACATATGAGTAGAACGCTGTTATCCATGCCGATAGAGCAGGAAGCCTTCAAGAAGGGTTTAAACACCAAAGTCCTTAAAAATACAAGACTAAACAAATCTCTGGTATTTCTGCTGGTCCCAGCCTGGGTTATATCAGTTTTGACATTCAGGATGGCTTCCTAAAGTGAGCTCACACATCCATTAGTCCTTAGGTATCCCAAGTGTTACTTCACAGAAACCGCACTTGTTGGCTCTGCATCTAATAATACAGATGTTAGCTAGTAGAGTCTGAAGATAGGTGCTACTCTGCAAAAGTGCAAGTTACTTGCTATTCAAAGCATGAGAGCTTCTATGGGACTAACTTATAGATCCAAATGGAAACAATTTCTGCTCTTGGCTGCTCAGTGTGACCTTCAGCCCATTGGAGAAATCTATTCCTCCTGTCCTGGCTTATTTATTCATGGTGAAGCATTCATGACTTCAAGTTACAGTTAAGATTAGTTTAGCTGCCTGTCATTTTCTGTTCAAGGTTGGATTATTTCCTTGCATCCAACAGTGTGAAGCTTCTTGAAAAGGTGCATTTCCCTCTTCTTCCTCCAGGAAAATTACATGAAACTTATGGTCTGGAATACAACAGTCCATCCCTTGTGACTTCTTTCTAGTATGTTCACTGTACCTTCTGGTTGTGAAAGTACCTGTTACATGTTTTAAAAGAACAAGCAAGATTCAGATACAATATAATTCAGACAAGTACAGATATTGTATCACTAATAGCATAACTCCTTACCAGAAGTGGGATCAGGCTTTGGTTTGTATTGGTTTGGCTGCACCATCCTGTCTTTGCAACATCTATTTCTGAAAAGTTAAACTCTACAAGCTTGTAGTCCTGAGGGCATTCTACTGCCTGAACAGGACAACACTTCCACAAGGCGTTGAGACTTCTTGTAGCATTTGAGTCCAGATTCTTGTGACCCATAGACTCTTAAAGGTATATGGAATTTCCTTTTAACATCTGCTATAAAGTAAGTAAATTAGCACCATATAGCTTGATTAGTGCCTACTCTGTAGCAGTGCAAAGTAACCACTTTGTCAGGCATTGTGAGTGTGCATATATTGGAAGTTTGCAGGACACCACATGGATTTCAGTGCCTGCCTTTCAGCTCTGCACACCTAATGTGATGCTCAGTTCAGTGAAGCAATATACTGGCCGGTACCCACATGAAACTTCCAGCAGAGACACCCTCTAGCCAGTCACTCGTAATCGTTGCAGACAAATCTGTAAGCAATTTTACATAGCAAGATGATAGAGTTAGGAAAGGACAATTTGGCCACATAGATTCTTGATGCTTCTGCATTGATGTGAAATACTAGCTTGGAGGTTCTCTCTGTTAGCTGAGAGACTTTGCCACTGAGGCAGTTTCTGTCACACACCATGTGCTGAATCTCTTAGGATCCATGTAAAACCCAACTGGAGAACCCTGGGACTTTGATGAAAGCAGATGGCCTACTGCTTTCATAGTCACCTTTTCTTCCTACTTCATCTACACTCAGGCTCTTGAAGGTCTGAAAATCATGATGTTTCATCTTCACTAACCATGTCAAAACTCTAAACTGTCTTTACTTAATCTTTTTCTTGGCTCCTGGTACCTACAGCTTGTTGCCATGTATTCCATCTCTCTCTTCCAGGCTGTACTGCAGTTGCTTCCTGTTGATCTGACTAGCTCATCCATTCTCTTACACTAGGCACTACTGTCCAGCCTTTAGGTCTAAGAGTCTATTTCTTTTCTTGTTCAGAGCTCTGTCTGTCTTCACCAGTTCTTTCTGACACCCTGCATCCAGCCTTCACTGAAAGAATCACAGAATGGGGCCTTAAATCACAGGTTGGAAGGGGCCTTAAAGCTCATCTAATTCCAACCCCCCTGTGAGGGGGGGGGGGGGATGCAGGGATGCTTTCCACTAGACCAGGTTGCTCAAAGTCCCTTCCAACCTGGCCTTGAATACTTCCACATCTTCTCTGGGAAACATGTTCCAATGTCTCACACCCCTTATAGTGAATATTTTTTTCCTAATATCTAAAATAAATCTATCCTCTTGCTGCTTAAAGCCATTCCCCCTGTCCTGTCACTACCTGCCCTTCAAAACTCCTCCTTGAAAGCAGCTTTCCTCTAAGTTCCCTGTAGGTATTTAGGTATCATAACTGCTTCTGGAGAAGATAAACAAAATATTTAGGGATTTGGGGTAGGCAGTACTATCTATTTTCACCTGGTTGTAATGTAATCAACTTCCAAAGCACAGCTGCACAACTGAACAAGCTATTATATCTTTGAGGTTCTATAAGTAGACTTTTACTGTGCCTTGATGCTCAGGGTGCATGTCTTTGCAGGGCTCGGTGTTTCAACTAAAAGTGCATCTGGGGAAGGGTCTTTCCTTATTTCTGTGCATTCTGAACTTTGCAAAGGGGCTGTGCAGGCTGGAATGGAAGTATTGCTGTACTCTTACTGGTGTGCTAACTTTGAAAGAGGCAACTTTTTTTCCTCTAGGGCCGATGGGAGAGTCAGCAAGATGTATCCCAAGGTGCCACAAATTCCAGTAGAGGCATTAGTCCATCTCGTACTTCTCTGCCAGGCCCTAGGCAGCAAAATCACTCTCCTGATCCAGGTAAGGGCTTTCCTAAAGCTAAGACAACTCTCCTAAAAATGAAATCAAGTTAGCACAGCTACTGAATTTCAGATAAAGCTGAGCTGCTTTCAGAGACGCAGAGAAATTCCCTGAGCAATGTGTGTGCAGTTCCCTTTCTGTGAACATTTAGCAGTTGTAGCTAAACTACTCAGACTACAGGCAACTCTAACTGGCCTTTCCTTTAAATCTGGTACTAGTTCTGCTAAGAATTAAATGCCGTATGTTTAAAGTTGTCTGAAAATGCAGTCTTTATCTCAGTAGTTCATTTTCAAAAGCCAAAACCTAGCTGCTCTTAGAAGATGCTGTCTGTTACATGAGTAAAGCAGCAAAGACAGTAAGGCTACAAATGTTTTGGGAAATAAGCAGCCCTGGAACTGTATGTCTATTTTGCAGCTGTTGTACCTAATATATAGTTAAGAGCACAGAGATAGATAGTAGTAATGTTTTGCATGTCTTCCTAGTTTTCTCAAGGGGAAGTAGTTTAGGAAAACAGCATTGTGAGTAAGGAGACTTGAATGCCCCTAACATTTTTTCTTTTTCTTAACTTGGAACTTCTCATCTTTTACCTGTAGTAAGTTTTGTAATTGTTGTTAAAAATGTGTGTTGTATGGACATCCTTTTTCAATTTTGCTTCTTGATTTGTGGTTTTTTTTTGTTGTTTTGTTTTGGGTTTTTTTTGTTTGGGTTTGTTGGTTGTTTTTTTTCCTGCTTCTGCAATTTATAAAGCATTTTATGTTTCCATTTGCAAACAACAAGCTTTTCATGCCATGTGATGGAAAAAAAAAGATGTATGCTGGGGCCACAGATTACGACCTGCGCCATTCAAGGGAGAAGCAAGCACTCAATGCTTTTGCTTGGCTAATGCTTTGACCACTGGCAGATGTCATCTTAGACTAAAATGATAACAGTTTTGTAATTTGCTTGGGGGGTGGGGTTGGTTTGGGTTTTGTTGTTCGGGTTTTTTTCTTTTCCTTTCTCCAAAGCATAGCTGTTCTCATTTTTCAATTTTTTCAACAGGTATTGGTAGCCTTGCTGCTTCCTACCTGAATCCTGTAAAGTCCTTTGTGCCTCAGATGCCAAAGCTGCTGAAGTCTCTCTTTCCTGTTAGAGATGACAAAAAGGGCAGGCAGACCTCTCCCCTTGCACAGCAGGTAAAAAATGAAATCAAATAGGCTATGTTTTTGCAGTGCAAACCAAGGTTTTGGTTATAGTGAAGCCTTGTGAGGCATTTCCTCTCTTCACTGTCCAGAGATAGTAGAGTGGTTTAAACCTATTGATACACTCAGCCCACTTGGCTTTCTAGAAGTGCCAGGTACGCTACCAGCATGATTTATGGCAGTACTGCTTGCAGCATCAGTATCATTTAAATTCATGAAGTAAAATTCATGAAGTGCACTTTGTGGTGTTTGAGTATGGCCAAGTGGAAAAGTAATTCTGTTTTTAATTTGTTATTTCATATGCCATTCCCTCCCATCCCTCACCCCTGCTCATGTCACCTTTTACTGTCTTCTGCTCTGTGCTTTGGCCAGTTGCTTTAATTCATTCTCTTACCTATACCACACATCAGAGAAGCATTTGGTTTTAGTTTTGGATGCTGTGCTGCGAAACTCCTCATGCTCTAACTGTGGGTTCTGTGCTCTGAGGAGTAGCTGGTAGTCTGCTACCTGGTAGGCTGGTAGTCCTCCTTTTTCTAGTCTGCATTGTCAAGCACACTAGAAAAAGCTACTGTCTTTTAAAGAAAACAGATGAAATAGACTAAAACTTTAATTTTTTGGAAGTAACTTATGACAGACATGACACAAGAATCAGGCAAATGTAAAATATGTTTAGTTAGACTGTGGTTTTATTCTCTACAAAGTAATAAAGGGAGCAGATTTTACACCTGTATCTTTAATTTATTTGCTATACTTTTTCATATTGTCTTCTGCTTACAACAGCCTTGGTGTTGAGACTAGAATCATATAAACTTACTCATCTATGAAACTTAGAGAACTAAAATTGAGAGTGTCTTTGTTTAAAGGTATTTGGGTATTGAAAGATGCAAATAGGTGCTCTTTACAATTGCAGTGAGAGCCTTTCACAACTTCTTGAATTCTTACTGAATCAGTGAGAGCTGAGATTAGAAATGAAGCCTAATTTCCTGCCTCTAGTCTAACCACCTGTTACCACTCCTTCCTACTGTTCAAGATTATTTGTCTTTAAGTCAGTTTTTAAACAGCAAACATCTATTTAAAGATATTTTAATTTATATTATAGATTACTATAGGAGCTCAGGTAATCAGATCATGATCACAGCACCTTTTAAAAAGAGGGAAAATGCTATTTCTACTTTGCTTTAAAAAAATAAAGGCTAATATAGAAACAAGAGTGTGTGATATTTTATTGCTTGCTTACATTACGTTTTTCCATGACCACTGGATCTGTATAATAAAATGAAATTTTAAAGTTATTTGTAACTTCAGGGTTTTTAATAGAACAAGTTCAGTTGTATTACAAATACACCTCACTGGTTTGAGAGGTTTATAGAGAGTCTTTGTAGCCCTATCAGTGAGGAAACAGGGCTGCTTCATTCCTGCTAGCAATTGCAGCTTACAGAAGAGAGGAAAAACTGAAGGAACTGCTACAGAATTAGCTACAGCTTCTTCTGAGCAGCACAATAATAAGTACGTGCTGTTGTAGCAAGACGGGCTTTAAGATCGTAAATATCATGTCTCGTAATCTTTCTTGCTGTTTCTTTCTAATGGCCTGATGATGCAAATGTGGCCAGAAGAACTTAAATGGTGGTGGTGATGAATGGCTGTTGCACATGGTGGGTGATGGGGCTTCTATGGGGGTCACTGTTTGGCAATCAGCTATAACACCTTATCGCTAACCTGCCAGTGCCAGGCAGCAGGCTAGTAATTCTTGCACAGCAGTAGTAAACTACACAACAGAGAGGACACAAAATTTAGTTCTGTATTTTCTGAATCTCAGGAAATACAGAACAATGCATCTTAGTTCTGTGGAAGAATAAAACTTCGATACGCAGTAGCAGAGGACATAAGTGAATGTGCAAGGTGAGAGTAGGTGGTGAGCAATGAAAAATACAAGGGCGGGGTGAAGCCAAAATGATTTTTTCGGCTGTAACTTCAAAGGAAACTGACCCCTAGTTGAGAACTGATGGACTTCTGTTGCTGTATACTTGGGAGAATTAAGTTCAAGAATAGAAATAACTAAAGGAATGCTTTACAAAGCAAATGGAAACTCCCATATTATTTTTTCTTGGCTAAAACCAAAAAAAAAGCAGATAGGCAAACCAGTTTTTTTCAACACAAATACCAAAAAGCAAAGTGGATCAGTTTATTACTGTCTCCTGGTTCATCAAACAACTACAGTGAAAAAGAATGCCCAAAGTTCTTGTCAAGCTCCCTTTTCAAAGGGATCTTTGTGTATCTGTTACATTATTTGAGAGTGCTTAATTATGTGGCTGAGAGAGGTGAGGTTGTTCAGCCAGATGTTTTCAAGTGTCCAAGGCCAGGTTGGACAGGGTTTTGAGCAACCTAGTCTAGTAGATGTCCCTGCCCATGGCAGGGGTGTTAGTACTAGGGGAGGTTTAAGGTCACTTCTGACCCAGACCATCCTATGATTCTATGATCTAATGTCATTTAAATCTGTTCTGGAAAAATGCTGGTGAACCATCTTGAACTAGATGGTTGGTCAGGCTTATTAAATTTTCAATGTGTTATAGTTAAATTGTCGGGGTTAGGTGGCTGTACATCTCCACAGAAACCATCAGATTTGTTTTGTTAATCCTTGTAAGCAGTATCTTACAGCTAAGTTGATTTTAGAGGTTTTGAGCATTGTTTCCAAGGGAGCTGTACTTTTTTCCAAGCTTATAACTGAAGTTTATTGTGACCAAGCAGTTTTCCAAGTGGATGTGTTACCGAATCTCTGCGTGAGTAAAGAGAAGCTGGAGTTCTGCTCAGTTGTTCTGAAAACACCTTTTTGATTTAAGCAGTCTTTATTTCAGTCAGATGCTGTTGCTTAGGCTGGCAACCTTAGAGCACGGGAGGACATGCAAAAGTTATCTTAAAATGTCTTTCCCAGTCCTGTTTGTGTTTGTAGTCAGTGGTTGTCTGAGTTTCAAAAATGCAAAGACATTTCAGTCAAGGTGGTGGCAGCTAACAAAATTGCTGTCTTTGACCTTCTGATGCAAGTTTAGTAACTAATCTGGAGAATAATGAACCGCAATTAATGAAATCTGCTCTCGTATTCAAGTGTGTTTCTCAGACAGCACATAAAATAATTGAAAGAACTTCCTGCTCTCTAATTAGTTAGATTGAATTAATTTGGCATAATAGGATTCTTTATGTAACTAGCAGAACGGCTTCCGATGAAGCTGTTTATGTACCTAAAAGATTGGTTTCTGATGAAGCTGTTTATATACTTTTAAGTTAGAAAAGGCCTATTTTCTCCAGTATCTGATGCCTTTAAATTAATCGCCAGTAGTCTGTAAATAAAAAAGCCAATTATTTAAGCCTTTCAGGACTGCAGGAATTGCTTTTTATTTACCTAGTCTGTTCTTTAAAAAGCTTAGTACTGCAGTGTGCAAGATCTAACGCCTTGCCAACCCTTATTGCTGATGTGGAAAAGTTTAAAAATCTTGTGTAAAACATGCAGGTGGATGGAGAATCAGAGTTTCATCTATCTGTGCTTAATTATATTACATACATGCTCTTGAAGCTTGTCTTTTTTATTAACATCCTGAGGCTTTCATAGTGTGCACCAAGCAGAATTACTGTTCTTTACCTTATGACCCTGCTGATCTCCAGGAACTGCCCGTGTAATTACATTTAAGGGCATTGTTGGGTCCTGACATTAAGAATGTACATATGAAATTTCAGTTTCTGGGTTTTATTGACATTGCCGTGGCTGAAGCAAATTCCTCTGATCAATTTCATAAGTAGATTTTCATCACCTTCATACTTGAGGACCATGTTGGGTGCTCAAATAATGTTTTAACACATGGCTTGAATGAGAGATCTTGAGTCACACCTATCTTAAAAAAATTTGTTCTCTGAATTTTCATGTACTAATGTAATTCACTTTGTTTGTGGTCTGAAAATGCAGCCATGTGACTACAGAGAGGGCAGGTGTCAATTTTTTCTCCTTCACCTTCTGATGCAGATGTAGTAATTAATCTTAAAAAATAGTTTTTCATTAGCTGATTTCATTATCTAAATAGACAAATGCCTTTTTCTGCCAGTGCATTAAAAATAACAGCTTCATGGATGTGCATGGTGCATAGTATAATTGCTAGAACTGCCGTTCCTTAATCAAATGTAAATAACGTGGCCTCAGAGAACCATCTTTAAAATCTTGAAGGCTTTTTTCAGTGTTTCAAATAAAGAATCGTTTCGATGGTGTAATCAGCATAGCTCAACAGATCCTCTGTGGCCAGCTGAGCTGCTATGTGTCTGGCTCTTCTGACTGAGTTGTTAGTTTTTTCATTTCTTTCCAAATTCAGTTTTCACTATCATCCTCATACAAATAGTTTTTAATGAGTATGGAAAAATTACTTTTAAAGTTCTTGGAGCAAACCACTGAAACATCTTTAGGAACTAACTTGAAAATGGTTATAAATTACCCTCTTAATCTGCTCAGACCTAGGAACAAAATAATTTAGCTACATAGAAAATTCTGGTTACTTTTGCATAAAGTGTATTAGAAATGTGAAATTCGGAAGTGGTATTACAGGCTGAAATGTTCCTCATATGAAAGGTGGTATAAGAGGGTTTTGTTTGGGTTACAGTTTAAATTAAGAGTTTCTTTAGAGAAGAAAACAAACACCAAACATACAACTAACTTGTACAGGGTTTCAGGTTTCCTTTTGGAATGCAGGAGACTTTATATTTGAATGATTAATTATGTTTTAATTATTTTAAAATTGAGGGCGGAGAGGAATATTTGGGCGGGGGATGGCTTTTAAAAATTGATTCATCTTTTTTTGACTTTATCCTAGGGAATTCAGAGTTCTTACTGCATTGCTCTATGTCTTGTGAAAGTATTTTATCCCGGGTGCCGATTTAAACTGATTTAAATCTACATTTAATGAAGCAACTGCTATGCCCTGCTGCTGTTTCCAATAGTTGCTTTTAAATGATGATGTGAACATTATACTGTCAGTGTGACAGTTCTTGAGCTCAGTGATTCCTATCTGCAGATGGTAAAGCATAGACAAGAGCAGTGGAAGTTTTCTGATAATGCCTTTTTAGGATTGCATCAGCTATAACCTTGGCTAGACCATTTCTGGGGCTTGGAGGATAATTCTGGTACGCGCTCGCCCAGTCTGTTCTGTTATCTGCCACTGAACTTTCTGCATATTGGGTGTTAACACTGAAGAATTTTCATCCAGTTACATGAAATCAAAAGGCTTTGTATTGAAGTCATCAGTCGCTATTGTCAGAGGCATTTTACAAAATGTTTAATGACATAGAAATACCAAATGTGTTTTTGTGAGCTCGTTGAAGATGTTGTCATTATGTATGCAATATATGGTATGAAAAGGAGCTCATTTAGGATTAATTTTAGTGCCTCTCTAAGTGGGGTGAGAATCACATTTGCTTTTCCTTTTCATGCTCACCAGTGTACCAGGTTGGTTTCCAGATTCCACTAATCACTAGTAACAACATGGCTTTTGGTCACCTCAGAGTATGTGCAAACTGACCTTTCATCTGACCAGAAAATACGTGCTCTTAGATATCCTTATAAACTCATTGCACAGAGTAGCAGCTCTCGGGAAGAAGACAGTTTTTGTTCTACAATGATTCAAAGGTGCTTTAAAGTGAATTCCTTTCGTGTTCTCTCTTAGTCTATATTTTGTCAGCTTGGATGAAGACATTGTGCCAAAAATTATCACTGTAAAAAGATCATGTTTTGCCAGTGGGTAAATATATATGTCTGGTTTAGCAGTCGCTATCTGCAAATGTTTAATGATAGAATTTGGCTCTCGATTCAGAAATACTTTTCATCCAGTAATGTCTTCATAGATACTCAAACACAGTATTTTTAGTATCCCACCCAAGTTACTTGACTGCGTTTCATAACACAGATTCAGTTTAGTACCCTTGCACCCCAGTGAGGGTGTTTCTGCCCATCTGTTTCTTGTCAACACAAACGTTGGGCAAGTGCCACTTCTCATAATTGCTTTTTTCTCCATGTTTTTCTAAACATTGCTTGGCAGAGTTATTGTAGTTTTGAGATTTGTCATCCTTTCAGGAGGAGAACTTGATGAGGCATGATTAAAGTGTAATGGTTTTCTTTCATTTGCTATTTGATATCAACCAGTTTTAGGTTTTGTGGATTTACAAGCTGTAAGACTGAAGGTTTCTGAGAGATAAAAATTCCAAACAAGCTCTCTCCTCTGTTTATTTGATATAAAGAGAGAAAAATAAATCAAAGGAACTGAGAAGTATCTTTAAACACTTTTTCTTATTTCAATTCCAAGTGCTTATCTCTGGATAATAATACTAGACCTCAAAGTACTTCCCAGCCAAGGCATGTATACTGGGAGAAAATGGGGCAAAAAACTAAAGTTGTGTTGTGGTGCCAGTGAGCACTGGAGCTGTTTTTAGCTCCTGATACAAGCTCTGCTTTAAAAGGCTGTTTCCCCTTCTCCAACATATCACAGATAGACATGTGGAAGCAACAAGGACAGTGTTTCATATGTGCAACCTTTCTGAGATGCCAGAATGGACCGTGGAGATAATTAACTGGGATAATTTGAATTCAAGAGCCTTGGCTTCTCAATGAGGTTCAGCTGCACCTCTGCAAAAGGTTTGAAGTGCTTTGTACGTGCCTGCCTAGGGATTAGCCCTAATGTCTTGTGACCTTTTATTTTTAAAAGGTGATATTTAATAGCACTCCCAGGATGGACCAACCCATGGTTCAAAGATGGTTGAAGAGGAGAGAATAAGTGTTCTGCCAAGTACTCTTTTCCTTTTAATACTGTGATAAGTGTCTATTAAAACTAAAATTTGCAGGGCTTTCTCACAAGAAGGTTAATCCCTCTCCTCTCTAGTCTTTTTTATAGTAAAACCCTTGGCTGTTGTGACAGTCAAGTTATCCTTGGGTATCAGAGTTAATGCTTAGGATGAGTCAGAGTACTCGCTCACCTTATTGCTCTCAGCTATCTCTGAACCCAGTCACAAGTCAATACTACAGTTGTTTTCAGGTTAATACTTTTGTCTTAGAAGATTGCCACTTCATTCCAAAGGAAGCTGAAGTTCTTGTTCAACATCGTTGTCTCTGACATGGACAGTGGGATTAAGTGTGCCCTCAGCAACTTTGCTGATGACACCGAGCTGTGTGGTTTGGTTGATACACTGGAGGGAAGGAATGCCATCCAGAGGGACCTCGACACACTTGTGAGGTGGGCTGATGCCAACCTCATGAAATTTAACCATGCCAAGTGCAAGGTCCTGCACCTGGGTGGGAGAAATCCCAGACACAGCTACAGGTTGGGCAGAGAAGAGATTCAGAGCAGCCCTGTGGAGAAGGACTTGGGGGTGTTGGTTGATGAGAAAATGAACATGAGCCAGCTTCAGTGTGCACTCACAGCCCAGAAAGCCAACCGTATCCTGGGCTGCATCAAAAGGAGCGTGACCAGCAGGTTGAAGGAGGAAGGTGATCGTGCCCCTCTACTCTGCTCTCGTGAGAGCTCACCTGGAGTACTGTGTGTAGTTCTGGTGTCCTCAACATAAAAAAGACATGGAACTGTTGGAACAAATCCAGAGGAGGCCATGAGGATGGTCGGGGACTGGAGCACCTCCCGTATGAAGACAGGCTGAGGAAGTTGGGGCTGTTCAGCCTGGAGAAGAGAAGGCTGCGTGGAGACCTCATAGCAGCCTTCCAGTATCTGAAGGGGGCCTATAGGGATGCTGGGGAGGGACTTTTCATTAAGGGACCATAGTGACAAGGGGTAATGGGTTAAAACTTAAACAGGGGAAGTTTAGATTGGATATAAGGAAGAAGTTCTTTCCTGTTAGGGTGGTGAGGCACTGGAATGGGTTGCCCAGGAAAGCTGTGAATGCTCCATCCCTGGCAGTGTTCAAGGCCAGGTTGGACAGAGCCTTGGGTGGCATGGTTTAGTGTGAGGTGTCCGGGGCCATGGCAGAGGGGTTGGAACTAGATGATCTTAAGGTCCTTTCCAAACCTAACTATTCTATGATTCTATGAGGTGTCTGAATGCTGCTGGATCACGAGCCCTAAAGCTGTGTTTATGTTTAGGCTTCACTGATTTGTTCTGATTCGGGTCACCATCTGTTCCTGGAGCCCCAGCACGTGTCCTAGTAAAGATCTTGAAACACTAATGCCTTGTTCACCCAAAATAGAGCCAGTTTGCTCTGAACCCCACTTCATTGGTGTACTTTCAATTAGCACGTTTAATGATAAGCAAACCCCACCCCCTCCTGCTTTCTTTTATTGAACTGAGCTTTAACATCTAAAAATTATTTTGATCCACTGTGAACCTCTTGGGTTTTTTGTCTGTCTTTTGTCTTTTTATTTTTTACCTTGAACAACCACGTTTTTAATTAATGCCTGGCAATCTCTATAAATCATAGCTGTTCTTTTCTTCCATGTTTATTTCTTTTGGGGACAGGGTTAGTCACATTCCTGCTTTACTGTACTTAGAAGGGATGCAAAAGAAGAGTTTCCTTACTCCAGCTGGAAAGCTTCAGTTCTTTAAACAGAAAGTTGAATTCTGGAAATAGCTGTCTCAGAGATGAGCACTGCCTGTGTTTTCCTGCAGAAGGAGTTCTTAAGTCCCTTGGAGAAAAAAGAAAAAAGGCAGACTGCTCCCAAATCATAAAATGTGTCACCCTTAAGGAGCTCTTTCCCTCAAAGTATGAATCTGCACTTGCAGTACATTATTTAACAGAGCTGAAGAGAGATGTTTCTGCCTTTATCTCCTCTCTCTTTTAGTTCTTGCTTCTCTTTTCCAAGTTTCTCCACTGAACTGGTGCTCCCTTTCCCTCCTGTCTCACCAGTGTGTGTTAGCCCAAGCCTAAGATTTATAGTCAAGTATCACAGTTTGCTGTTATAGTCTTGGGAAAGTGATTATTTGAAATCTTAAAACATAAAAACCTGAATATGGAGCAAGTGAGGGACATTTATTGTCAATACCTTCAGTATCAAGCCCCATGCTGTGAAAGAGGAGATACTGTTGAAACACAGAAGTTGCTCTTCTGGCACAGAACCAGTGTATCATCATTAGCAAATGGTGTGTGTAGTCTTCACTCTAGCAGGCAGTAGTGGTGCCCTCTTTAATAGAAGATACACAGATCTTGTTTTCCACTTCCTTTTTGAGTTAAAGCAAGCAATGCTAAAATCTAAATTGAATTAAGATACTGGAGATGGAGAAAGAGCTTTGGAGATGGATTGAAGCTGAGGATTTCTCTCACCGGACCAGCGTGTCCTCAGATCTCTCTGTCATCTGTTTGCTCAGTGGTCTGTGTTTGACAGAGTGCATAAAAGAAAACTTCCTACACTACGAATTTGTACTTGTAGCTGCTTATATGTTAAAGTTCTGGAGGCCTTGGTTAAGTTTTTAACCCTTTCAGAGCACATTATCAGAATGTAATAAAATAGCAGTGCTCCATCCTTTCGTGACAGAGGTTTGTTTGTGATTCCAGAATTTCATATACAAGTTTTAATGTTTACCAGTGTGACAATACTTAATCCTTTAAGTGAACGATGTTCTTTGTTTCATCCCTGCAGGCTGTCCCACGAATTATGGTTCAGTCTGCCAGTATTGACACCAGTGCTGCAAGGATAAAACAGGTAAGCACATTGCAGGATATGATGATACAATTTTCATATTCCCGTACCTGGAAACCAGAGGTGGCAGAAGCAACTGCTGGGTTAGCTATTTAAAACCTGTTGCACTTCTTTCGTTGAGACAATTAAATGCAGTGTGTGTTGCTGTGTTTTCTTAGGTCCTGGTAAAATATCCCCTTATCACCAGTTACACTTTTGTATTTGAAGGGCTTGTAAATCATATGATTGCATTAGCAGTTAACTAGCTAAAATTTAGCTGGTTTGCTGCTTTAAAAGGCAAATTGCTGGGCTCTGTTGCTTTCTATAGACAGAACATGTCTGTTATTCTGAGTGTTGAGCTTAATTCTCAGTTTTACATTTCAAGACAATTAATGATATTGGCATGAAAAAAAGGCTCTTGATAAGCTGGAAAGAAAATAGACACTCTGATCTCCCACAGTTCAGCAGAACTTCAGTCTCATGAATAGCAAGTCATCTTTCTCCCACTTGTGCTTTTATTGTCTTAGCAAAATGTGTTATCTGAACGCTTACAAGGGAAAACAAAGACTGAGCAGAGCTCCAGAGTCCACATGCACACCATCCTCTCCATAGAAAAGCTAAATTATGTCTGTAAAGCATAGGAATATTTAAAAAAATTCTTCTGTATTACATTTAGCAATAGCAGGATAGCCTTTGGTTCTGAAATTCCTGTAATCCAGTCAAATCCCTCTTTCTTGAAATTCCACTTATATTTCCAGTGGAAAAGGCACTTCAAAATAAGGTGAAAATCCTGTAGTTCAGGAGGCTTAATCACTAGATGGGATAAACCACAAGATTTTGAACAATAAACAAAAAACGTACACTTGAGAGTTAAGATCTGTGCAAATCTGCCGTCCTCCAACCACTGTTTTTTTCCCCTTCATATTAGCAGCCTCCTCCCTCCCTCCCAAAGAGATTTAGAGGCATCCTAATCTTTTAGAGTACATGTGCTGGCGAAAGATATTGATCTATCAGATTTAGTAAACTTCACAGCCAAGAAATACATCACTAAAATGGGCTGTTAATCTCGTGAGGTGCAGTTAATTTCATACTCTGCAAGTGTGTGGTGCTGGTGGCATTGAGGTGGGAATGGCATTTGGAAATGGGGACATAAATGACAGTTTAGTTGGAGAGGCATGATTTATCAATCCTGAGAGTTAAGCCAAATAACTGAGAGACTTATAGATCATGGCTGTTTCACATTTCCTATAAATCCTACTATTCAAACAGCAAATGACCATTCCTGCAATATAAACAATTTTTCAGTAAATATTGGGGGATGTATTTCTTCTAGTTGACAGACACTTTTCTTATTAATGGAAGAAATGAGCTGACAATCCTACCAGATTTGCAAAGCTGACTTCGGATCAGCTTGCATCTTTTGGACTTTGCAGCTACACAGGGATTTAGATAAGCCAAAGGTCTTAGAACTTCCCAGAGGCCTTGTATCTATCCTTTTAGCTCAGGTATTTTGGGTAACAGGTCCCTGTCTTTCTCTGTTTCAGATTAACCAAGAGGAAATAGGAAAACAGCCATTCGAAACTGCAGTGCAGACGTCTGAGGTGGACAAGAGTCCAGAAAAGACACCCAAAGTGCCTTTGCAGCAGCCCTCAGGAGACACCCAGGCCCAGGACTCCCAGGAGGGACCTCCAAGTCCTCTAAGTGAAGCCTCCAGTGGGTACTTTTCTCACAGTGTCTCGACAGCCACCCTCTCTGAGGCCCTTGCAGCAGGAATTGATGCTGTGGCTCAACCAGGAAGTCAAACACCTTCAGCCAGTGACTTCCCAGCTCCTGCTGTGGCTCAGGTCCCTTCTTCTGACATGCCAGGGCACTCAGACAGTTCATCAGAAAGCTGTCTCAGTACTAAGAGAGAGAATCTACCTGCCTTCAGCCTTCAAAGCACTCATGCAAGGCCTAAAGACAGCACTGAAGTAAATGGAAATGATGCTTTGAAATCCAAATCTTGCATATCTCCTGTGACTCAAAGCGAGCAGGGAAATGATGCCTCTGTAGCAACTGATGCAAAAACCTTTCTTTCTACCTCCACTCCAAAGAAGGAGTTGTTATCCAAACAATCAATGGAGTCAGCAGGACAAGTTAGGAAAAAGGAAATGGCTTCAGAGTCTTCAGAACTGGGGTTTCCCGAACAATTGTCCCAGCCTGGTGTTGCAGCCTCCCCCTTCAAAATCCAGAAAGTCAAGACATCAGAACTGAAGTCCTTTACAAGCATGCTGGGAACAGATCCCATGTATTCACTAAACACAGAAGAGCAGCAAGGAGAGAAGAGTACAGCCACCAGCCGTGGACTGAACCATAACGGATCAGAGACAGCAGAAGAAAAACTGGAGGTGGCTTCTGATTCCGAAGAAGCCAATGAAATTCCTGAGTGGCTGAAAGAAGGGGAATATGTCACGGTTGGTGCAAATAAGACAGGCACCGTTAGATATATTGGGCCCACAGACTTTCAAGAGGGAACATGGGTTGGTGTCGAGCTGGATTTACCTTCAGGTAAAATATACAGACAGCATGTCAGGATTTGCAGTGCTTCAGTTTAATGTCACTTTCTGATGAGGGGGGAGCACATTAGCCATTACTTGGTGCATTTTGAGATGGGAAATATCTTTCCCTGCTGTTGTCTTTTTCCAGTCTGCCTTTGTAAACCTAGTCTCACTGACCTCTCACAGAATTGTGTGCCTTTTCAGTTACTTCACTGGCTTCTTACAGTGGAGGTAGGAATCAGGATTGCTTTTACAGTGCAGGTAAGTAAGTAAATAGTTGCAGGGGACAGCCCTTGTGTCCAAAGAGTTCTCTTCTGGGGTTCTGCTCTGTGGATAAGGGTGTCCAAAGCACAACAGGAGCTGTGGAATTCAAATAACCAAAGGAACATTCAGGGTTAATAAATTGCAAAGGCTTCTAAGGGGTTACCTAGTCTCTCACAAGCTGTTTAAAAATAAGCTGTTAAATGGCAAAATACTATTTGTGTCTGTGTCTGTATATATATTGATAATTTACACACCTATATATGTAAAAACCAGTAGGAAATAATCACACTTTGACCACCAGCACATACAGATGATTTAAAGTTTCTTTCAGCTTCTCATTTGTCATTCATGTGTGACTCTTGTACAACTGTAGACTTCACAGAATTTAGGCTCTAATACATGCTTTTTGGAAATGAGGGTGCTGTTCCTGGAGAGGCTCTGTTCATATGTGCTGTTGCACAGTGATGGGGAAAACCAGTGACTTTATCACAAGATGAAAGATGACACCTGGCATTTGTTCTCTGCTGCAGCCCCAGGTTTCATAACTTCCTTGACACCACTTTCAAAGGACTTGTTTTCTCCAAGAGCAGGTAGGATTGGGGGAAGGCAGGGCATGCCAGTGGAAAATTCAAGAGGCAAGCAGTAGATACCGCTGCCTTTTGATATTTGAAAGGGTTTGGTTTACCAAGGGCACATAAAGCTCCTTATTGAAATCCTTTTAACCAAGCTGTAGCATTCCAAGTCTGCAGTGCAGGCTCTGTTTGGTGAATCAGCATGTCCCAGGGAGTTGCCTACGCTCGTCTCTGCTGCACACTTCCTGGGATGGAAGCTGCTCACCAAGATAAATACTGTGTCAAGGATCCAGAGCTCCCATTAAGTGAGCAGTTATCTTCTCTGTGCGTGGTGTGCTCATAAAAGCTAAAATGGAAGGTGTGCTTTCAGCTGGTTTCAGAAAACTCTGGAGTTTGCCAGTCTGGAAAGCAAACTGCGGCTCTAATCCCTTTGAAAGTTGTAAACCAGTGCTCAGTCCTGAATTCATACCTTATTTTAAGAAATATATATATATATATTTACAGATTCATTTCCATTTTGGAAAGTCACCTTCCCTTCCTGTCTGGCTACTCTAATCCACAGTGGTAATTCTGTTAAGCTCTTTGCACATACCTGGTGTCAGCTTCAGTGTCCATGGAAGAGCCAAAGAGCGACAAGATTTTTTTGGTCTATTGAGACCTCAGCTGCTGATGTTACTGGGTATTTTTGTTTCCCCATCTGTTTCCATGAGGAGTAAGTCCTTGATTTGTTGGAGCATAACTGGATTCGTGTGCACATCTGGAGCTGCCATTGGAAAATATGATCACAAATTTTTATCTTGGTTGCACTTACAGGCAGTGGTAGAAGTCCAAGTCCTTGGCCACGGTGGGGCTATGTGGGACCCGAAGCAGTGCTGGTGGTAGAGAGGAGATACCTGTAAAACAGAAGGGGTGATTTTATGTCATTTAAAAAGCTGTCATATCGTTTCACATTCCCTTTACAGATAGGAGGGGTCTCTGTCCCGGTACCCAGAACAGTGATGGGGGAGAATGTTTAAAGAAGTTAAAGACAGCATCAGTGTAAAGAAATTGTTCTGTCTGTTCTGTGGAGGTTTTATGACATGGAAACAGGAACTCTTCTCAACTTCAGACTCTCATCAACTCAGAAACCCAAAAGTTCTGTTAAATGTCTTTTTTTTTTTTTTTTTTTTTCCTTCCTTCCTGATAGTTTGCTGATGCCTCTGTTGCTGAACTGAGTATTTAACACTTTTGGTGAAATTAAAGCATTCCCCTGAATAGTGAGCAGGAAGGAAGAATAAGGTGAAGTGTCCCATTCAGAGTAACTGTGCAATGGCTTTGCCTCCGAGCATCTCTGTGGCCTCCTCTGGACCCCCAGCAACAGCTCCAACTCCTTCTTATGCTAGGGGCCCCAGAGCTGGATGCAGGACTGCAGAGAGGGGTCTCACCAGAGCAGAGTAGAGGGGAAGAATCACCCCCCTTGGCCAAGGTCAAGGTGATGCAGCCCAGCATATGGAGAGCACACCATACACACAGGATAAGAGCCATTTCATCTATCATCTTTCTTTCTTTTCTTGTCACAGGTAAGAATGATGGCTCGATTGGAGGGAAGCAGTATTTCAGATGCAACCCAGGCTATGGATTGCTTGTTAAACCAGGCAGAGTTAAAAAGGCCACAGGATCAGCAAGACGGCGGAGCACCGGGTTGAGGTTGCAAGGAGGAGTCGCCACTGAGAACAGGAAGAGCGGCAACTTCTCCGGTTCAGCCTCCAACCTGGCTTCACTCACAGCCCTGGCCAAATCAGAAGGAGGACCCACGCTGCGACTGGAGAAGAACCAGAAAAATGCGGAGAACAGGAAATCCTGGGCAAACTGAGACAGCTCTGCGCGCAGCAGCAAACGCTGTGCAACGCAGCCAAGGGAGCAGGTCTTGTAGCTTCGGGACGTGAAACCAACCACATGAACTTCTAGTTTGTGGCAAACACTAATGAAGGCTTTTTTCTCTCCTTTGGGTGATTGACATGTTAATTCTTTGCCTTGTCATGGTGCTGGATCTGTGTCCTTCGTTTCCTGTTACAAATTGTGACGCTTCAGGGTATGACTGATGGCAGCCAGTGAAAGCTCATGGCGGTGGGTGCATGTAAGCTCTGCTCTCTTCCACCTCTCACAGAAGGAAGAGATGCATAAATTGTTTGAATTATGACATGGCTTTCCAATAGCTACAGAATAACTACCCATGCACCGGTGCTTCTCTTGGTGTGACTGGCAATTCTAAAGAAACATCCCCAAAATAACAGTTCTTTCCTACTTTTGTAAGATGTGTCCATGTCACATAAGACATGGTGAAAGAGCAAGGTTATCATGAGTCCGGACAGGCAGAGAAGCAAACATAGATTTTTATTTGGAAATAAAGACACCCCCCCACCCCCCCAAAATCTGTTTATTTAAAAAAAACCACCAGTTCCTTGGTTATGTGGCCTGGGCCCAGTGCCTCTTTGATGAGTGTCCTGTTGTGCCTCTCTCCTGCTGTGAAATTGGCACAATCTTTCTAGCTGTTTTGTTGGGAATGGGCGAAAGCCCATGACCCCATGTAATAGTTTTAATCCCTTCAGGAAAGAGAGGAGTTGAGCAAATTTTCCATCTGATCTATTTCACGTGCTCTCTCACCATGACAGGATCCCCTCTCACTTGCTCCAAAGTGGCAGCACCTTCTTCCTGTTGGTGCTGCCGTGTGGGCCAAAAGGATTTCTGCAGAGATAGCAGCACTGAAGTGCTTTGATGTTTCTTCCCAGCCTTTGGAGCCGGTTGGATTTTTACCACTTGGGCAAAGCAGAGGGTCGCCGTCCTTGTAACGGGATGAATCCAGTCTATTTATTTGTATTTATTGTTTTAAAATATGAAATGTTTGCGCTTTACAATCATCCACCACCTGACGTTGTACAGAGGAGCTCCACCAGATCCATATCGAGCATCCATCCAAAGAGGAGGTGCCTCTGTCGCCAGCTAAACCACCCCAGCGGCACACAAAAGCAAACCTGGCTGAACGGGCTGAGGAGTCATCCCCAAAACAAATCATCCCTCTTGGAAGTGGGAGGTTTGGGCTGGCTTTTATGAGATTTGATTTTATTTTCAGTAACCCTTGTTATGTTTTAATTGCCTGTGACACAAATGACGCATTGCTGTGCGTGTGTTGTATATACATGTGCGCATATCAACATACACGCACTCATTGTCTAACAAATGAAGAAAGGCCACAGGCTTTTTCTATTCTGAGCTGTTTATGTCTTATTTACTCATCACGGGGGGATCGGACAGCTTGAGCAATAGACATTTTATCTACGTGGGGTATATTTAGGATGCTAAATTAATGATTAAACTTTAATAGGTATCTAGTCGCTGCCCGTGCTGCACGTGGGTATCTAAGTGCCTTAGCCATCTGGTTCAGAGGTCCAAGGGAAAGATTCATTGTCATCAGAGGAGGTAGGGATGCTTAGCGGAGGAGATAATTATGCTGATTTACTGTAATTAATATTATTTATGCAGAAGGAATAAAATTAAAATAGAAACTAATCTGTAGCAGAAGTGGGATGGGTTGCAATGCAGCATGCATAGTACTGCCAGGCATTTGTGTATCCTTTCAGCTCCGTGTGACTAGTTTCAGTGTTTCCTAAATTTTCATAAAGAAACCTTAATATAAAATGTACAGACCAGCTTTTAAAACTGTCTTTAGTGTACAGTTTTTCCTTCTTTTCCTTTGCACAAAGTTCCTGTCTGTTCAAGCCAAGGTGATGGGAGAATTTTAGTAGTAAGGAATTCAGATGCTAAAATCCTGGGGTTTGAAATTGTAACTGGTTTTATGGACATGACCCCTGCAACCAAGCAGCGTTCCTTTTTGGGGTATGACGAGTCTTGCTGATGAAAAACCACCCGCTAATGAACATGATGCCTCTTCTACTGCCTTGTGAGTTTTCTAAACCCCATCTTTACCGGTTTTTAATTGCACTTTGTTCTGATGTGCTGCAAAAAGTCAGCTACCATGAAACAGCCCCTCACCGGTAGCTGTGGTTTTCAGTTTCAGCACTTCATTTGCTGGATTTAGGGATATCTTTAATTGATGTTTGATAGGTGGCCCCTTTTGGGGAGACATGAAGGGAAAACCTCTCAGAGTCCTTCTGAAGCCTTTTCTCTCGCACCGCTGTCTCTGAAGACTGGAGTCTGTGGCACATAAAGGTGTTGAAGTCACAGAGGTGAAAGGGTCAGGCAGAAGCAGTTGGGTTAATAGTTCACTGTTTATGCTACCCTCTATAAATTCCTGTGGCTGTATTTGTACTACAGCCCTGACCACCTAAGGGCAGATTTCAGTGTTTGCACATCTGGGGCACGTGCTCAGAGGCTGCAGGTGACTGGTACAGGGTGGATTTCCTCCTCCACCTGCCCTCAGTCGTGTCACAAAATCATGCTGGGCGTATTCAGAGGGGTTTGAAATATGGCTTGAACAGAACATACTTGCTGCCTCCTCTAGGATAACTTGTCCTGGAAGCAAATGTCTTGGATATAGCTGGTTTGTTTAAAACATCAGTGGATGATCAGCATGATGAAGTGCTCTGTTAAGGGAGCACCGTGTTGACTTTGGTGGAGGGAGGAATTTACTTATAGCTCTTTCGGTTTTTACCATCTCATTTGACTGTTGAAACTAAACCTCTGCTCAAATTCCACCCTGGCACCTGCCCCACAAGTGAAGCCCCCCTGACCAAACCACCCCAATGTGGCACAAGCTCCAGAAAGCCCAGCAAGTCAGATTTGGCCATGAGGATGTTCTTGGAGGATTCTCTGTCTGCCTCCTGCCCACCCCAGCATTCCTGGGCATGCTTCTGAAGATATTTTCCAAGATTCTGGTACAGGGAGTGCACATCCCTCCACTCAAAGCCATCTGTTACTGTGCACCAGCTAAGCCAACTAACCAGAAAGCAGTTTAAAACCATAATGAAGGTAATATACATCTATTTTATTATTGATAGCATTAGAAAGGCTCTACGTTCAGCATAGAGGAGGTGCTCTTAACTGAAAGCACCAGCGACTGGGGCTGACGTGTTGATAGCTATGCATATTTTCCAAGATTCTCATGCACTTTATACAGGGAAGAAGAATATTTAATGCAGGAACTGTAATTTGTAGGAAGTGTCTCCTCTCCGGTGTCTGCTTGGTGATGCCAGCTTGCTTTCTTGAACCATGGGTACGTCTTGGATTCTGGATGTTGAAAATTGTGTTGGTGGTAGGAAGGGTGATGGTCTGAGCCTGGGTCTGCAGCTCTGCACAGCTGTTGTGTCATTTACTCCGAGTCAGCCAAGAGGATGCTTTCCAAGGGGACTTCTTTGGGTGTTCTCAAAGCAAGCCAAGATGTTTTCCTGGGTTACATTCAGCTCTCTGATGGTGTTTTGATCTCTATCCCCCAAATCATCTTTCCATTCAAGGGCCTCGTCTGTTTGCTGTTTAGTGGTGTAGTTCAGTTGAGGAAAGCTAACAGAAATTAGTTCTGTGTGGTAATATTGCCCGAGTCCTTAAGAAGAGCATTTTGTCAGTGTTGAGGTGGAAGCTCCCCTCTGCTGCCTGTGTGGGGGGAAGTTTGACACCTCTTTGCTCTCCTAGGAACCAGGAAACCCACCTCATTCCTACCTATCAGTTGTGAAAACCCATACAGAAAGTGCTTGTGTGTTGTACAGACCTGTTTGTGCGGGAGCGGAGCTGTTGTTGAGTCATTTCTGTGTTCATGCTTGTGCTGTCCTTATGGCAGTACTGCCAGATCTTTGCACAAGAGGTTGAGTTTTCACAGTGCCTTATCCCTGGGTCAGCAGCTGATGCAGCGAGGGGCTGGATTTTGTACCAGCTCGAGGCCATCCAGCTTTCAGGAAGGGGTGAGCATGAGAAGTGAAGGTGCAAACTGGACACTGCAGAATACTCCTGAGCTGGGGTGACAAGTGTCTTGTTCCTGGGTCTCCTTTATCTGTGCTTTGGTTTCTGTGCTCTCCATCCTCCTCCTAAAACACTGTCATGTTTTTCACTCCCGAGAAATGCTTGGCTGCTGCCATCTGCCCCTGAGCACTGGGCACAGCTGGGTTCATGGAATCACAGAATGGTTTGGGTTGGAAGGGACCTTAAAGCTCATCCAGTTCCAACCCCTGCCACAGGGCAGGAACACCTTCCACTAGAGCAGGTTGCTCAGGTCTCAGCAGAGCCTCCTGCCACAGCCTGGCTGAGCCTTATCCTGGCTCCAGCATCTGAGTACCACAGCAGAGGGAGCAGAGACATGGGATGGGGCTCCTTAAACTCTGCAAGAGCCAGGAGTGCAGAGTGGTGGGGATGCATTAGAGACATTTCCCCTTCAAGGGCCTCACCTGCTCAGCAGGAGCAGGGCTTCTGTCCGGCAGGAGGATGCAGCTGCACTCCCCTTGCATATCCCTTCCAAACCCATTCTGAAGCTGACAGAGGAGCCGTGCTCCAAGCAGCAACTGGCTGGGTGTGCAGCAGTACATCCCTGCCTTGCCTCAGACATGGTGGTGTTGGTGCTGTTCCTGTGCCGGGACTCGTTCTGTGTTTTCACCTCCATTAACACCCACTGTGTCTTGGGAGAGCCTGTTCCAGCTCATGGTTGTGTTGATGGATGTAAATGTAGTGGCTCTGTATATAGAGTGGCCATTCACGCTGTGGGGTTCCGTGCCCATCGGTGTACTTTAAATGAGCTAAAATCCAAAGATACTTTGTAATGAGCTGTAAAGTTTTTAATTATTACTGTACAATACTAAGTGATTGTAATATTGTATCATACGTGTGACGCAGCCCGCAGTACCGAAATAAAGGTCTTCTTTAGAGCCCCTAAGTCTGTGCTTTGTTAATTAGGGTCACATCACCAAAACGTTTAGATGCACTTGCAGCCCTGCAGTGGAGCAGCATCACCCCAAGGTGCCAAGACCTGTTTCAAACAAGACTGTTACCTGGTTGTCTCCAGTTTAGGGACCTTCTGATCCATGAGAAACCCATGGGTTTACCTTCCCTTCATCCTCCCTTCTCTTTGATGTTCTGGGAAAATAGCACTTTGCTTGCAGCCATTGTGGTGGGGGAATCACTGCCTGTGGAGCTCATTTTTCCGTATTTTAGAATCAGAGAATGGTTTGGGTTGGAAGGGACCAGTCCCAACTCCCTGCCATGGGCAGGGACACCTTCCACTAGACCAGGTTGCTCCAAGCCCCGCCTATCATGGCCTTGAACACTGCCAGGGATGGGGCAGCCACAGCTTCTCAGGGCAACCTGTGCCAGTGTCTCACCACCCTCACAGGGAACAACTTCTGCCTAAGATCTCATCTCAGTCTCCCCTCTGTCAGGTTAAAGCCATTCCCCCTTGTCCTGTCCCTACAGGCCCTTGTCAAAAGCCCCTCTTCAGCTTTCCTGTTGGCCCCTTTAGGCACTGGAAGCTGCTCTAAGGTCTCCCTGGAGCCTTCTCTTCTCCAGGCTGAACAAGCCCAGCTCTCTCAGTGTCTCCATAGCAGAGCTGCTCCAGCCCTCGGAGCATCTTTGTGGCCTCCTCTGCACTTGCTCCAACAGCTCCACGTCCTTCTTATGTTGGGGTTGCAGAGCTCAATAAATAAAATGCATTTATTACACTAAAACAAACAGGCAGAGGTCTGGTCATGCCCCCTCCACGCTCCCCAGCTGCTGGACCTCAGACTGGATGAGGGGTTATTGCTGCCAGCCCTGCCTTCAGTCCCTGTAGGGATTGTTCTTTCCTCTGCTCCTTCCATTGCCCTCATGGGCTTTAAAACTGAACTGCCTGCAGCCCCCTGAAACCGGGCAAGTGTCCCAGCACTTGGGGTCAGGAGGACAGGTGCCAGCTGGGATGGGGCAGGGAAACAGCTTAGAAATCATGACCTGGTGTGTGGGATGGAGCTGGGGTGGGGTTGGCTCCTTTGGAAGAACAAATCATCCTGAGCTTGGTGCTGATTTTGATGTGATTGTTTATTTTAATGTGATTGCAGCCTGGCATTACCTGAGCCCCCAGGTTTGTGCAGAGGCAACAAGCAATGGATGGGCAGAGGGGCTGCCCCAGGCTCAGCATCTCTTCACAGTGGCCAGTAAGATGTAAGGGTGAGGAATGGGTGTGTTCATGGGCAGGTGTCCGGGGTGAGTAGGAACCATGAGCGCTCTTGGCACTGTCTGAAAATGAGAAACATCCTCTGAGGAGCCACGTGCTCCCCAGTGGCTGCTCTGTCTGCGGCAGTGGGATATTGCAGCCATTACCCTGGTGTTATTCTGCAGGCACAGAAGCCCTTGGGGGACCCCTCACCCCCAGCTCCTGAGCAGGAAAAGGCACCAACCCAATACTTCAGAGCAGCAGCACGGCCTTGAAACTGCCTCCCTCTGTCCCATCACTCTGTTTAGCAACATCTACTTCTAAACCACAGCTCCATCACGGAGCTGTCGAGTTTTGCTTTGGTTTTTTTTTTTGTGGCTGGTTTTGCTTCATTTCATTTTGTGGGTTTTTTTTAAGCAACCAGCGCTGTGTTGATCCCACAATCCCACTGAAAGTCATTTAGCAAAGGATATTTTTATCGGTGTTGTCTTGCAATCAGTGCACGAAAATACAGCTGCCTTTTTCTCCCTTTCTAAAGCCACTTCCCTTTAATGTTTTACCTCCTGCAAAAAAAAGCCCCCATCCGTGGCTGAAACGCAGGAGCCGTTTGAAGCGCCGGTGCTTTGTTCAAACCCCGCTCTTCGCAGAAGGTGGTTGTAACACCTTCCCCGCACCGCAGCCGCGCGCCGCTCTCTGTTCCTCAGCCAAAGCCGGTTTTAAAAGGGCCCTGATCAAAACGAGCCGGAAAATAAATATAAAAACAAACCACAAAGAACACCTTTTCCCTGCCTGCCTTCGGATTGATGCCGCTTGCATTGTCCTCACTTGGCTTCAGGCCCTCTGCTGCAAGAGGTGAAGCCAGCGGGGCTGAGGGGTTCCAGGGGCGGCTGGATTCTTCCTTCAGGGGAGGAAGAGCAGGAAGGCAAGAGGCTGGGGGGGGGGTCTGGCTTGACACCGGCTGAGCCGTGCAAGGAGCAGCTCTGCCACCAGCTCAGCAGGTTCCAAAGGGGGATTTTTGTTCACTCTCAGACCCCCACTTGGGATGAATTTATGTATTTATTTATTTCCCTTGCTCATCTGGTTCTCCAGGGATTAAAAAAGGCACAAAATGGGCTGGAAGTGGAGTTTTTTTGCAAATTACAAGCCCCTGTTGTGTGTCTCTTTCTCCTTTACAGAAGATCTCCAGCCTGAGCTTTTCCGCATCCCTCAGTTTTGTCTCTGAAGCAGGGTGAGGGCTTCATCTTTCATCCTCCACCCAGGGGCTGTCTCTACTTGGGAAAGAGGGTCCCCGTGTGCTCCAAGTCAAGCTGGCGAAGGCCCTGTCAGCACCCCTCCTACCTTCTACATCCCCCTCCTTGCACATCCTACTGCTCCCCTCCAAGTAAAGGAGCGGGGGACTTGGCACTGATGGGCAACTCTGTTACCAGCTCCTTCATAACAGCCGACTTGCTCCAAGGGCTCACCCTTACTGTGGAAATCAGAAACGCACGCAATGTGTTGGGAATTCAGTCGTAAAGAAACAAACCCTGATGAAAACCAGCTCAAAAGGCACCAGCTCCCCCTGGTTGGAGCTCCCCCCTCCCCCCCGCCGATGCTCAGCACAACCTGTCAGGAGGAATGGGCACCCAAAGCATCCTCCTGCCTTTGGCTTCTCCAAGCTATGCTGCTGCTTGTTACTTCACCATCTTTTGGGGCTTATTATCAGATGGCCCTGAAGTCTCCTCCCTCCAGATTTCCAACAACTCCTCAAGCAAGAGACCCTCCACCCTCCTTGGTCATCCCGTTCCTGTATGATGTGTACTTGTGACAAACGCAGCTGGGCTCAGAGGAGCAGACAGCACTCTACTCATCGGCTTTCCTTTTAGTGGAAGGAGCCTCCAACACTGGCCCAGTGCTCAAAGGCCAAGGGGGATGCAGCTGCTTCTGACATACCTCTGCCACCTTCATCCCTCTGAGGCCATCCTTATGGAAAAGGGAAGGCACAAAAACTTCAGTCTTTCACAAGGGAACTGTTAGTATTCTGTACATTTAGTAACTGCTCAAGACACATTTTAGGTCCTATATGTGCCCAAGGTTCCCCCAGGCTCAACAGACAGAAAGGATGAGAGCAGAAGGCAGCGTGCTGGAGTTATACATTTTTATTTTCTAATAGGTACAATACTAAAATAAACACAAATTAAAAAAAAGTTTTATTAAAACAAAACTGTACAAAAAAGCAGTTATACTACATTTTAATTACAGAACAGTCTACTGTCCAAAAGGCACTAATCCAGAATAGGAGATACAATGATACAGGACTCATTTTAACTATTTTAATCAATACAATAGAGCACTTGTTTCTCTGTCCATTCACGTATAGAAACAAGGACTTTTGCTACAGTCATTACACATTGTTATAAATATGAGCCCTACATGTAAAGATGCAGTATCGCTCACCCTGGGCCAGGATCCAAACAGTGTTAGAAATCATTAAAATGAAAGGAAAATAAAGGAAGAGAGTGAAGGACACGGGGAAGGAGTCAGGTCAATACTTCGCCCTTTGCAGCACTTTGAGGGCGATGTGAGGGGTTATTGGCTCTCACCTGCACTTCAGAGATGGGCACATAGACACACATAGAAGAACCCCATTTGCCTTGATGGTCTACAGCCAGCCTGTGGTGGGACAGGGAGGAGAACTGCTCTCCCTTGTGCCCAAAGCTTTGCATTGTTTTTCCCACCATGTTCTGTCTTATTCTCCTTTGACTCCCCTTTTCCTGGATAGTTCTTCCCTCTATAACAGATAAACAATGATTCCAAGGGCACCCAAGGGATAAAAGCTATTACTTTCCTCCTTGCAAGAAACAAGGAAGCAGACCCATGGGTGCCTTGCAGATAAAAGCAGTGATTTGGAGAAGATTTTGGAATATTCTTCTTAAAAATCAGTGTCTTTACTGCAATGGCATCCAGCCATGAGAAGGTGAACCTTGTCCAGTATGGCTGCTATGACTGCTCCTACAGCAAAACTCACCTCATGTGAGCTCCTGGGACGGAAGGGCATGGTTGAAGCGGCACAGGGGAAGTTACAACCCGTTACCCTTCCCACAGCACCTTCCAGGAAGCCAACCCACACTTAAACACACAGAGAGCTGTGGAAAACCCGAGTTCCCTGTGGCACCTTCCTCCATCTCCCTCTGTGGTGGTGTTACCTGAGATTCACTCCCCTGCCATACACAGTATTGCTTCCCTGGTGCCTTTTTTTACCATAAGCAATTTAACCAACACAAGAATCATTTTCCCTCCCAATCTATCCTACTTCTTCACCCCATTTATCCCCCAAAATCTGAAGCTGAGGACCAGTAGCAAAGATCCTACAGATGGTATGGAGAACACCCGTGTGCAAAGCCACCAAGCAGCACAGGAATATTTGACATTACTACTGGGAGCAACAACACAACACACCCACTAAATGCCAGTGTGAATCACAGAGTCTTTAAGCTGAACAAGCAGCCCTTACGAAGATCAAGACCTAGGCATGTTTGTGGGTCTGATGATGATGGTGTGTAGCGTTACCTGACTCTTTCATGGTGGAAGAGGTTCAATACGCGGGTGGGAGAGGGATACTGCACCTTTAAAACAGTGTCATACACATAAGACAAAGACAGGCATCTGGATGTTAACAAAAATAAGTAACAAAGAAATATGATTAAACAAAATCTCTTCTCACATCATCCTATACTACATCCTCCTTCTGCTTAGCAGAAAATT